AACCACTAGGTCACCACATCCCCTACAAAAGGTCCCCAATGACATCGTAATAAAATAAACATAGCCTGACCCTGACCATACATAAATTACTTCAGATACAACACTGCAATTTATAATGACAACTAATAGCCACCAAGGCCCTCCAGAGTGGCTTAGCCTTTGCTGTCTGAAATGCCTATCCTGCAGTGGCCAATTTGATGTTAAGAGAGGCAAAACATTGGTGATGATGAAGACAGGCTAAATTCTGTAGTTAAATCAGGGTTTCTTGACCTCAGCAACTTTAAGATGTTCAGCTTTTAAACATCTTAATTCCCCTACATCCACACACCTTGAAACTGCTGAGATTGACAAAGACAATGTGAGAATCATTTTGGATACTCTGGAATATTATGAAGCACACCCTGAGAAGCAAATGGCCTTGATGTTTCTAGATGCTCAAAAAGCCTTTGACAATGTGAGTTGGCAATTTATTTTACTGCAACTGATACAAATGGTTTTTGGTAAGAAATTTATCCAAGCCATTGAAACAATATATCATGAACAAACTGCAAAGGTGATGGTGAATGGAGAATTAACAGAATCCATAGATATAAGAAAAGGGACAAGGCAAGGCTGTCCATTGTCGCCTCTGCTGTTTGTGTTAACATTGGAAGTGTTGAACAGGAATATCAGAGAAGAAAAAGAAATAAAAGGAATGAAAATTAAAAAGGAGTAGTATAAATTGCAAGCTTTTGCAGATAACCTGGTATTTATATTAGAAGGCCCAATGGAAAGAACACCCAAATTAATAGAAAAAATAGAAGAATATGGAAAAGTAGCAGGTCTGAGAATAAACAAAGACACAACAAAGATATTAACAAAGAATATGTTAACAAGACAAAAGAAAGAGTTGGAAGAAACTTTAAAAATACAAGTCACGAACAAGGTTAAATACTTAGGGATTTATGTTACGCCAAGATGCAGTACCCTGAAGGAAGATAACTATGTTAAACTCAAACAGCAGATTGCGACAGACTTGATGAAATGGGAAAATTGCAACTATCATTGATTGGGAGAATATCCACAATTAAGATGAATATATTGCCTAGAGTTTTATACTGTACTTATTCCAGGCAATTCCTATTCGATTAGGGAAAGAGATTTTTGAAGATTTAAATAGAATTGTGCTGAAATATATTTGGCAGGGTAAAAAAGCAAGAATAAAATTAAAGCTGTTACAAGATGCAAGAATAAGAGGAGGGTTTGCCTTGCCCAATTGGGAGCTGTATTACCAGGCAACAAGTTTGATGTGGGTAATGGAATGGATAACACTAAGGAACAGTAGATTATTGACTTTAGAAGGTCATGACTTACTGCTGGGGTGGCATGCCTTTCTCTGGTATAAGGGAACTAAAACACAGGGGTATTTTAGAAGACATATTCATGAGGCACTGTTTTTGAGTTGGGAGATTAAAAGACAATATTACTTAAAAATTCCAACATGGATATCACCTATTGAAGCTTTTTCTTATCCAATAATATATAAAAAGGAACAAACAGTTAGATATGGGGAATTACTGAATGAAAAGGCTGAACTTGAATCTATGCAATCATTAGAAGAATAAGGTGTAAAAATGAATTGGTTTTCTTATTTGCAAATACAATCTAGGTTTGATAAAGACTCCAAGGCAGAAGGTATTTATGATAAGCTGACTGACTTAGATAAAATTTTGATGGGTACTGATGAAAAGGTAATTAAAAAACTTTATGGACATCTATTAGAATTTAAATTGGAGGAGGAGCAAGTTAAAGAAACAATGATTGCTTGGGGAAAAATTTTGGATATGGGATTGATTTGGAAAAATGGCAAAAATTGTGGTCTCAAAATTATAAAATGACGTCAACTGCGTATAAAGAAAATTTGTATAAGATGTTTTACGGGTGGCACCTATCCCCGACGAAACTTGCAAGAATGTTTAAGAATAAATTGGATAAATGCTAGAAATGTCATCAGATACCTGGTTCATATTGCCATATGTGGTGGACATGCTTGGACGCAAAAAAATATTGGACTAAAATCCACACATGGTTGGAAAAAATGATAAAACAACATATAGATTTTAAACCAGAGATCTTTTTATTGGGAGTCATACCGGACATATACAATAAAGAACTGAAATATTTGATTGTAAATGTTTTAACAGCAGCTAGAATTGTATTTGTGAAAAACTGGAAAAATGACAAAATACCTATGCAGGAGGAAGTTATCAAAAAAATTATGGACTGTGCTGAAATGAGTAAACTGACATTTGAAATTAGAGAACAAGAAGATAAGCAATTTTATATGATATGGGATTTGTTTTATCAATGGTTGGATAAAAAGGCATGGTAATATAATAGACTAGATAATTTTATGATAGAAATCTAATAGATTGATATAAAACATAATATAGATATATATAACCACTGGTTGAAAGTATAACATAAATTTTAAGATAAAACTTGGAACATCTTGTATAAAACGATGGAATAAATAGTTTAGTCATGGATGATTAATAACTGATGAATATATAAACATATGTTAGTTTGACAATATGAAGACTGATATAAATTGTGAGTTAAATGACTGCAAAAGTATAGCACAAAAGATACGTAACCAACTGACACACTGTATGTATATAAAATGGAAGAGGATTTTATGTTTTTATGTTTTTGTATGTGTATGTTTGTGTTTAAAAATAAAGAAACTTTATTTTTTAAAAAAAAAACTGCTGAGATTGAGAAGCTCTATGTTGAACAAACCCCCCCCCGCCCCACTTCCCCAAAGGGCAGGGAAAGCAAGAGCCCCTCCAGAGATAAAGAAGTCCTGAAGACACAGAAGACTGTTAGTGGTGGTTGCAACAAGACGGAAGACCCTATTTTCGAATACTTCCCTGCACCTGTGCAATCTGTTTCCCACTTCTGGTGAACAAAAACAGCAAGCAGTGGGAGGTTCAAAACCCGGTGCTCTATTACAGGTAGGAGTTTTGAGTGAAGCCGGTTGCCTCGTTGCAATTCAGAAGTCTGTTGTCACAATCTGTGTCATATGTTGGTGGCTATTTCATAACTTCTAATTATGTGGCAACCACTCAAACGTAGAGTTAGTTGTAACTGTAGGAAAAGATTGCCCACGCACAGCCATAACAGAATGACAATTGCTTTTCCATCTCATGCCTCGTAGTTATACAATATACTGAATTCACCTTGTTGGGGTTAATTACGCAGTTTTATTGTTCGGGGGAGGGGGGCAGGAAGGTATATCCATGATCAGGCAGTAAAAGATACAGCCGTGACTTCAAGGTCATTATTCACCCGTTTCCTCAGCCATGGTGATGTTTGTGAATAGCGGCTAACAGTCTGGGTGATGTGACATCTGCTTTCTCTTATGGAGCAAGGTGCCTGCTTTCAAGCCAGAGATGGGCAGCACACTGGCAGCTGCTCCCCTGAGTAGGCCACAGACCATAAACAGCCTCCAGGCAACCAATAAGAGAACAGCATCCAGGAAGACAAAGCCATTTTGTGATTTCTTCTGCCTTTTCTCTGTTTCTGCTGCCTTCTGCTGTTTTGAAGGATTCCCCCAGCGCAGCTGAATGCAGGGTAGGATGACACTGTTGTCCTGCCTCAAACAGCAAAGGACCTTTTGGATAGTGCGGTCCATAAATAATTATTTGAAAGAAGATCCCTATACCGCTAAACAAGGCATTATTTACCGCTTTCAGAAGAGATCTTCATGGGATTCCTAAATATCTAGTGACCTTTTACTAATGTCCTTTTGAGGACAAGTAAAGTAAAATCATAATGCTGGTAGCATAAGTGGGCAAACTGATTATTTAGAATTATTCCCACTAGACTAGTGTTTAGGCCAGAAGGAAACTGTCTTGGGAAGCACCTAATCTTGGAATGGAATAAATAGGTTGGAACTTGGAAGGGATTTTAGAGGATATCTAGTCCGATACTGGTCCAATGCAAAACATCCTGTATGTATTACACCATTCTTGCCAAATTGCTAACTACCCTTCCAGTGTCAGAAAGTCCACAAGCTTCCAACCCTGGAATCTATTCCATTGCTGAACTGCTCTAATTATTAGGAACTTTTTCTGGACACCCAGGCAAAATCAGTTCCTTCATAATTTAGAGCTGTTGTTTCTTGTCTTCGGAAACAAAACAATTCTTCTCAGTCTTCTGAATAACAACCTTTAGATACCTGAAAATAACAATTATGTCTCCTCATAGTCTCCCCTCCCCCCCTTTGTTCCTGTGTAAGCATGCAGGGCTGGTAATTGGCCCAAATTCTGTATTAATTCTAGTCCTCACATCTCTTCTTTGTTCTTAAGGCCTTACAGGAGAGGGTGAGGGGTGGTGATACAGTATATAAATAAATAGAAGTAAAGAATAAAGTTTGCACGATTTCCTAAGGGCTCTTCCTAGACTAACATCTCAAATCAGTATCACCATCAGAACTCTACCTTGCTGAATCCCGCAATAAAAGTGGGGTAAACCCGGGTATAAACTTCGCTATTAAAAACGAACCCCCGTCCAAAGCATTGCTTACAGAAGGCCAAAGGTGTGGACAAGATAGACCGGACAAGATTGAACGAAACGCACTTAGGAGGTTTCCTATGAAAAAGGCACGGAACTTGTAATTTTTGTCCCCCTGCCGAAGCGAACACGCCAAGCCCAAGCACGGCGGGTGAGGGGGCGCAGAAGGACGGGTTACGCTCCCGCGCTAAGAGGCAACACTCGGGGGACGCGGGTCGCCGGCGGCGGCAGAGGCAGCTCACTTCCTGGGCTCTGGTAAGTTCGACCGGGACATTCTCCACGTTCCGCCAAGGCAGGCAGGAAGGCAGGCAGCGCTTCACCTGCCAGCTTCTCTTCCTTCCTTCCTTCCTTCCTAGACGGATCGAGGTCTCCGCACGTGCCATCCCAGGCTGGATGCGCAGCTGCCGAACCCCTCCTCGTCTGGTTTTTTTTTCTCGTGGAAAGTTGCGTCCAGGGAGATCGGCGTTCTCCTTCCGAAGTCCGGGGAAACCCGGCCTCGCTTCGCCGCCCAGAGGCGAAGACCCACTGACCACGCCTCGACCCGCTACGGATGTCCCTCTGAAATGAGCCAGGTGGCAAGGAAGAAGGGCGGGAGAAGCCCCGGGCGCGGCGAGCGGCCGGCGGCGGCTGGAAGGCAGCGAGGTAGCGAGTAAACAGAGGGCGCCAGGCCCCGGGCTCGCGGAAACTCGCCCCGGCCGCTCTCCTGTCGGCAGCCTCGTCCATTTTCGGCGGAGATGAGCGGCTGGGCAGGGCTGGCCGGGCTCCTCCTGGCCGTGGCTGGAGCTCAGGGGCAGCTGCTGCAGCCGCCGAGGGCATCGCGGAGTAGCCTTCGCCCTGGCGCCGCGGAACATGCCGCTCAGTTCGACCACGTCTTCAACGGGACGGTCAACCGAGGCACGGAGCGGCTGTACTCCTTCAACTACACCAGCCAGGCGGGCCAGGTAAGGTGGCGGCAGGTGCTCCCTGGGGCAGGTGCGGCTGGAGCCCTGGAAGGCTGCGCTGCTCGGAGAGGGGGGGGGTGACTCGTGGGAGCGGAGGGCTGGGGAGACTCGGCTCGGCTGGCGGGCTCCCGTGGCGAGGCGGGAGGAGACCTCCGGGGGGCAACAACGGCTGAAGGCCTACGGCGGGGCTCAGATGATGGGGAAGGGAGGAGAGGGACAAGGCCTAGCGATTCGGAATTGAAAACCAGTCGGGTTCTTCATTCATTATCCCTTTCAGGTCCCCCTCCGCCTCCGGTTTTGGCAGTTTCCCAGGAGCTAAGCTATTTTTCTGAACTTGCTTTGTTTTTATGTGATTGTTTCTGCAAATATAACTCCCATTTAAACAAACTTCAGATTTCCCTGTTCTTTCTGAGTCATGACAAATGCTTCTGTTGCTTCCTTGAGATAATGTCAGAGCGCATGTTATCATGGAATTACATAACAGTTAACTCCACATTGGTAATTACAGGTTATTTTTCCATCCATGTATCACATTGGTGGTTGTTTTGTTTTGAGGGGGATAAGCAATGTTATTCAAAGTGCAATAAAAGAAAATGTGTTAATAAGAGATTAAATTAAAGAGATGCTCATTCATTCTCTGTAAATGACCAAGGCATCTCAATGTATTTCTTTCAATTGGGCAGAGTCAGGTTTACATCAGTGTGTGTGTATGTGTAAACCCTGAAGTCTGACAATGCACAAATGAAAGAAATATATATTCTTTCATTCATTTTCTTTAAGTATATTTCTTTCATGTCTATCACTTGCTTTTGCATTCCATCCAACTTACGTACTTTTGACTCTTTCTGTTTTACCATATACCAAAATAACCCATTCGCTTTGCATTCAAAGTACTTTTGCTTCTCCTGATATTCTCCAAATCTCAGTTCTATGTAAGAAAGAGGGCAACGTATTCAGTATATTTGCTTATTTTGATACACGTTCAGTCTTTGCAGTAATATCCTTATTACCCACTCTCTTTTTATCAGCAAAGAAAAAAATACAATTACCTGGAAATGTGAAAAGAACAAATCCTTCACTGAACTAAAACATAAAAATAATAAAGCAAAACATGTAAATATTTAACTTGCCAACCTTATAGACAAGTCAATGTGTGTATGTGTGTGTAAAATATAAATTTAATAATTTTTCATTCCGTATAAGATTATAAGCCAATAAATAAAGGAGAAATGTTTCAATCCTGATGTCAAAAAACTCAAGGTCTCATTGTGTGGCCTCAAACTCACAGAAAGCTACTGTTCTGCAGCCTCCCTTGAGGAGCAGCTGTCTAGAGCAAATGTGGGTGATTTCCCTTTCTTTCATTGTCTAGAGAGGTTTCAAAGAATTGATCTACTCACCGGGTTCTTGATTTTTCCTGTGATCATAAACTCTGCTTTTGCAGAGCTTCTCCAGTTCACTATAACTTTTACCTAGTTACTATCCCTTACACACAAGTGAAGCCTTAATTTGAACAGGCCATGTGGGGTAAAGGTGTGTCCATTGTTCCCATGTCTCCATTTAGCATTATGTCTTCCTGGTGACATTAAAGCATTAGCATAAACGTTTGCTGTGCATTATAGGCGAATGGCATCTTCTAAGCCCTACACTCCCTCAGTTAAAAGAATAGCCTCCTGGAAGAAGATCCCTCCTCTTTTGAAGAAGCTGTGTCAGGCTACAACTGAGAAAAATGTCTATGGTGAAATATGTTGCCTACACAGGTAGTCCTTGACTTATGACCATACTTAAGACCCAAATTTCTGTTGCTAAGTGATACATTTGTATTGTCCCATTTTACACACTTTCTTGCCACAGTTGTTAAGTGAACCACTGCAGTTGTTAAGTTCATGACATGGTTGTCAAATGAATCTGGCTTCCCCATTGGTTATGCATGTCAGAAACTCACAGAAGCTGATCACATGGCCCTGGGACACTGCAGCCATCATAACTATGAGTCAGTTGCCAAGCGGATGCCACAACAGTGATGAGTGTAAAAAAAGATCAGTCGTACATCACTTTTTTCAGTGACATTGTAACTTTGAACGGTCACTAAATAAACTCTTGTAAGTCAAGAACTACCTGTACTTGCTGAGGAGCTTTGTCTTTGGGGGAATACCTTCTGTCTCACATAGAAAGGGCTAGAAGGGATCTTGGAAGTCTTCTCATCCAACCTCTTCCCTAAGGCAGGAGTCCTTCTTCCATTCCAGACAAATGGCTGTCCAATCTTGTCTTGAAAACCTTCAGTGATAGAGCACTCACAACTGCAGGAGGAAACTGCTCCATTCATTCATTGTTCTCACTTTCAGGGAATTTCTCCTTAGTTCCAAACTGGATCTCTCTTTCCACTACCGGTAATTGTTTCTTGTCCTGCCCTCTGCTGGTTTAGAGAATAAGTCCATCCCCTGTGACAGCCCCTCAAGTACCAGAAGAAGCTATCATGTCACCCCTAATTCTTCTCTTCCTTAGGCTAGATATAGTTAACTTTCCTTAACTGTTCATTATCTCATTTTTCAGGGTTTCCCAGGCATGTCGAATTGATTTTCCTTTTAAGATTTCCATCCAGGACATTCTTTCTAATTTTGCTCTTAGTTTGTTAAAGTCTAAAACAACAGGCTGACTTTGTTCAGTCACTTTTTCCTACTCTATGGTGAATTGTATGACATGGTCGGTGTCCCCAAAAGTTCCTACAATTTCCATTCCTTCAACCAATCTAACCTTATTAGTTAGTATAACCAATAGTGTGATTCAATCGGTTCGTACCGGTTTGAGTGAACCAGTTGTTAAATTACCCCTCCCCCTCCTCCCCACTATCAAAGTGGATTGTGGGTGCTGTGCTGCAATGGAGAAATGGGCAATGGAGCGGACAGCGGAGAAGAGGAGAAAGCCGCTTTCCCTCTTTCTTCTTCCTTCTCCTCCTCCTTCCCTTGTGCTGGCTGTTCCATTCAGGGGTGGGCTTCAGCCGGTTCGCACAGGTTCAACCGAACCGGATGTTAATTTTACATCTGGTTTGGTGAACTGGCTGGCCCTGCCTGCCCTGCCCCACCCTTCCCAGAAGTTCCCATGTGGACCATTTTAGATCACAGGTAAGTGCAGGGCCTGTGCGGAGGTTCAGGGAGGGTGAAAAACGGGCCTCTCAGAAGCTCCAGAAGGCCAGAAATGGGCCCGTTTCTGGCCTATGGAGAGCCTTCGGAGCCCAGGGAGGGTGAAAATGGACCTCCCAGAGGCTCAAGAAAAGTCTATGGAGTCCGGGGAGAGTGAAATAGGGGCTCCGCGACCATTTTTTCTCCCTGGGTGGTGCAAGAGGCCAATTAGGCCATGGCCACCATGGTCACACCCACCCAGCAACTGGGCAGAGAACCGGTTAAATTATTTGAAGCCCACTCCTGGCTCCATTGCCTGTTTCCCCATTGCAGCATAGCACAGCATCCACGATTCACTTTGATATCAAGACAGTGGTAATTTACCGATTGCTTCACTCAGGGTCAGGTTAGCCATCGTAGGAGGCTCATCTGCATGTGCAGCGGAGCTGGAGGATGAGGATGGGCCATGCCTTCCATGACAGCCAACCTGACTCTGGGCAAACCAATTGTTAAATTAGTTGAATCTCGCCACTGAGTATAACTGAGCTTCTAGTTCCTTCCTCCACCATTTGGGTGACAAAGTTGTCAGCTAGGCACATCAGAAACCTGTTAGATTATCCATTGACTGCAGAATTTGTTTCTCGGTTGTTGTAAGGAAGTTAAAGTTCCCTACTGTTGATCACCTTGGTTAACTGATTAGCAAAAAGTTTGTCTACATGTAGTCCTTGACTTACAACAGTTTGTTTAGTGACCATTCAAAGTTACAATGGCACTGAAAAATGTAACTTATGACTGTTTGTCACACCTATGATCGTTGCAGCATCCCCATGATCACGTGATCAAAATTCAGATGCTTGGCAACTGGTTCATATTTATCATGGTTGGGGTTTCCCTGGCTCACATGATCACTTTTTGTGACCTTCAGATGAGCAAAGTCAATGGGGAAGCCGGATTCACTTAACCAGATTACTAACTTCAGTGATTCACTTACTGTAACAACTGTGGCAGGAAAAGTTGTAAAATGGAGCAAAGTTTACTTAACAAATGTCTCGCTTAACAACATAAATTTTGGGCTGAATTGTGATCATAAGTCAAGGACTGCCTGTATTTCCTCTGCTTGATTGAGTGGCCTGTAGTTTCTTTTTCCTCCAATATTCACCCAAATACTTTCAAGAAAGCTTTTATCCCTAGTATTGCATACTTCTATAGTGGTGTAGCAATTTTTTACATACAAAGGAACTCCTCCCCCTCTTTGAGTCAGTTGGCTCTGTTTCTTTTGAACAATTTATATCCTTTTAGCATATATTCCTATCACTGGTTCCATCCAACTAAGTTTTAGAAATTACAACAGCATTGTACCTGCCCTCGTGTATTAGGATTTCATGTTATCCCTGTTTGTTACCCAAACTCTGAGCATGCATAATGTCTTGATAAGTCTGCTTCTTGTCTTTGTGAGCCGCATCCTAGCTTACTCCCATCAGAAAAGGATTAAAGTAGGCATTCACTGATGGGAGTACCCAGGATGTCTCTTTGTCTGTGCAGGCAGATGCCCTCCGTGTTACCGTGAAGAGCGACTCCAAAGATGACCAGTACCCTGTCTTGTTCGTAGTTCGGCAGCAAAAAGGGGTGCTGTCCTGGCAGCTCCCTCTCATTTTTCATGGGCTGTAAGTAATCGCTTCCTGTCATATTTATTTCTATCCTGTTTAGTTTTTCTTATTCCAACTTCTTACCTCAAATTCCTTCTAAAAAGATTCCTTAAAAGGGAGCTTTTTACTCTTTCCCTGCTAGAGAAGAAGCGTTCCTTCATTTTTTTTCACAACATTACTTTGTCGTCTATTTATTCTTTATTGTACAGAGAATTTACCGAGTTAAGTGTGTAGAGATAAGGACAGATAGTAAGTTTAAAAAATAATTCAGTATTGCCGGTTTAATCTCTTTAATTATATTTAATTGAATCCTAATAGCTATTCAAAGTTGATAGTAATTTCTGATTAAACAACTTTTGTTTTTACAATATTGGTTTTCATATAATCTTGGGCATTACCTTAAGCTGTCATTTGAGTATTTACCTAAAAAGTATGCCTAAAAATTATTAAAATATCCAGCCTTTTCTCTGCTAAAAAGCTTTGTGAGATATATTTTGGATGTGTGAAAACTGTTTTGTTTTTGGAGTTTTGTAAAATAGACAAATGAATTATACCTCTTTTGTGTTATACTTAATGTATTTGTTAAATTTATATATTTATATTAAAATGAATCCAAACTGGCTTGTAGTAAAGTACTGATATAATATGTTAGGAACAATGGGAGTAATGAAAGAAATGGGAGCACAATATATTTGTTTCAGCACAGTCAAGATAAGAGCCCGCTATCTGATCCCACTCAGTAATTAAGAAACTGTTCTGAACAAGCTAGTTTTCAGACTATCTTCCTGTGATAACCCAATTTGGAGGTTAGCAGAACATTAATTCTTGGGGTTTCTATGGCAAAAACAGAAATATAAGCTTTGTAGTACAGGATATCCATTTTTTCCAACATTTTATATTTGATCTGTCAGGGTAATTTCATTCTTTTCAAAAACTTCACCTCTTGAGCAAAAAAAACCAAAAACCTCTAACCACCAGCTTGCATTTATTATCCATCTACAACTGTTTTAATATTTTTACTGCTTCATTTTGGAAATAAAAGAAATGGGTGTCAATGGCTGGCATTCAATTAAAATGATTTCAGGTAGCTACTGGAGAACAAAATGAAAGCCTTTATTGTAGATTGGTATAAAAAATAGGAACCTGTTTTAGCTTTCTGGGATTAGCTTTCTCTGTTCGAACTGAAGCCTGCAGGTCTCTAATCAAGATATCTAGCAAGAAGAATATTGTGTTTTGATTATGCCATTACCTTGTGAAATCCAGGAGAATAAACAGAGATTCTTATTTCTGTTGGAAACCAGTCCACAAACTACAAAAAATACCCCAGGTAATAATTATGAAGTAAAGAAATAACACCTAGATATATTGCAGATTAAAATAAATCCATGTTAAAATATTCTTTGAAAGGTACAATAAATATGAAATAATATTTTTCATATATTAATTTCATTTTTCTAAACACCTGGACCTCCAATATAATTCTCCAAAATTGGATTATTCCAATTCATCCTTCCAAACTCAGTTACATGAGTAATTTTACTTTTTAATCCCTTCAGTTGCTGGGTTTTTTTTTCAAGCATTGCATCTTTTAAGGTACTTAAGACTGCAAGTATTTCAAAAGCTGCTAGGGCATTTGGGCCATACTGTTTGATTAATACCTGTTTCTGTTATATATATATTGCCAAACAAACACTAGAGAGAAATTATACTCAACACATAAACTCTGAAAATATTTTAATAGCTATTTGAAATCAGTTGAGTTAAAGTGTTGATCTGAGCATTCCAATAAAATATATTTTCCTGCTATTACAAAATTCGGCTTATTCCATAACACCAATATAACAATTTATAACAATATGATTTCCTATCATCAAAGTGATTCAGGATCAAAATGTAACTGCTTAGTAATCAAATATGTCTAGCAGTTTCATAGCTGGAAACAAAGATTCCTGTCTAGCAAAGCATATCAGAATTTCCAGAGTGTTAAATCTGTACTCTTCAAATTGGCTGAAGAGAGGAAGACTTATCAAAACTCATCAAAAATTTTGTGCAATAGTGGTTTGTTTAGGGACTCTCTGGCTAACTAATCTTGAAAAGGAGAAATAGAGTCAGACACCGTTAAATATCTGGATAGGAGACCACCAGGAAACCCCAGAGCTATGGTCTAAACTGCGAAGTCAAAAACACCTTAGAAAAAAACAAGAGGACACCCTTTCTGTATTATTGCCAACAAAACTGCAGGGATATGTCCATAAAATCACCAGAAATTGAACTCAACTTGAAGACTTCACTCATTCATTACCTTGCATCTGTTTTCTTGGCCAAATTCAAGTACAGAACATGGATTCTAGGCTGACTGGTGCTGGACAGACTTCAAAGAGAAAAGGTCACCAGCAATTAGGAATTGATGCAGAACAGTCAATAGGCAGATAACGAGATATAAACAGGATTAGTGAAGGTAGATAACAGAAGATAAGGCAATGAGACAAAAGGCATGATAGATGTATGCTATGGAAATTGTTCAGGCTAAAAAGCTAACTTGGATGTCAACAAAGTGCAGGGATTATATTCGGAGTAGTACTAAAGGCCAAGAGATACTCTTCACCCACAGTGCTGGAACTGTTCAATGCCTGAAAGAATAGAGCCCTTGTGACGCCACTTATTGGCTCCTAGTTCATGACATATTCCAGACACAGTAACACTTCTGCTCTGAGTGAAGGAGTTATTTTTATCTCCTCCCTTCTGTTTTAAATGGCAGTTTGTTTTATAACATAGACATAAATATTTGGATGAAATTATCTTCATTTAGATAATATTTTATGGAGTCTGAGTGCAGGACCTATAGGACCCTCGAAGATTTGTCTGACCTCATCTTGCTGTCCTTTAGAAACGCTTTTTAAAAACCTGGCGTTTGAAGAGTCCAGGGCCAGGTTGATTTATGATCCCAGCTGGTAGAGGATGGATAATTAGTATTTAAGTATATGTTTTTCTCCAAAGCATTATACTCAAAACATGTGGGTTTTTTAAAATGCAGGTTTTATTCTGAATGTCAGATTTTGCTTTGTGTTGGCAGTTACCAAAGAAATTACAACTACACAGAAGTCAGTCGTACACTCTGCCCATCTGAGTCTGTACCCATGAATGGATCTTCCGAGCAAATTGTATTTATAAATGTAGCTTCCATGGCTCCTTATGATGCCCACTATCAGCTGCAAGTTACCAAGATTAAGAACTTCCAACTTAGGTGAGTGGTCAGTTTCTGGATTTACCGTTTCAAAACAATGGAAAACTAAAGTTTTGTTGTTGTTATTGTTGTCTGGATCACTATATCAAAAATAGCATTGGCTGAAAAATTAACACAAGAAATCCATCTTTAAGCATCCTTTAGGTAAGGATTATTCTACTCATATTTGATTGCCATGTTTAACTAAATTTATTTATTAATCAAATTTATAGGGATGCCTATCTCCTAGAAAGTGACTTTATAAATATATAACACAGCAATTCTCAATAGATTATCCTTATACAAATATGATTTGGGATATAAATATTAAATATCAATGTTTAAAGTGTTCTTTTCCCTTAAGATTATAAAGAATTATTATATACTTCCATTTATATATCATTTTGTTTTTATTCTTATGCTGTTATTTTCAATGTTTGTTCATCTGTTTAAATAAAAAAACAAAAAACCTCTATATTTTAAAAATTCCCATGGACAAGGGGAATGGGAGGCCAGAGTAAAAAAAAACACTTTTTAAAATTGATTACAAGCTGTTTAGATTGCCTGCATGGAGACAATGCAAGCTGTAGGCATATGTCCCGCTGATGCTGCAGACTGAAGTAGGGGGCGAAATGCAAAACTGAGGATCCCACAAATGTGACAGGAATAACACAAAGAACAAGAAGAGAAACAGCTAGAGCCAAACCCACAGAAAAAACATTAGCAATACATTTATCAATCTAGGCAATAAGCTATATTATAAGCAGCAAAGGCTTCTTGCTAAAAATATTAGCCTTCTATTATATATGCTGCATATCCCCACTTTTGCGTGTCAAACCAATTTATATGCAAAGCTGACCAGAAACAGAGTGAAGAAAGCAACATAGTGCTAACATATGGCATGCAAGCTAAAAAGGTTTAGCCTGAGTGTCAGCAGCTTGCTGGTAGCATCACCCTGTCTATCTGCATCCACCCAATTTTTCCTTCAGGTTAGGATTCTTTTGCCTATTGGTCCAAGGGCTTGCCTCACCTTTTAGCCTCACTTAATTCTGAGTGCTAATTCTGCATGCATCCAATTCTTGCACCATTCTTAAGAAGAATTTGGAAGGTTTAGAGAAGGACAATGAGGATTATCAGGTAATTAGAAAGTAATTACACAGTTGGTCTTATGAAGACAGAATGAAGGGGTTAGAAAAGTTCAATTTTGAGAAAAAGTAATTGAGAGAGTTTGAATACAACAGCAGTTTTCAAACACCTGAATGCTGTTGCAGAATGGGGAAAATACTATGAGCACAGTAATGAAGTCTGCAATTATTTGCATTTCTTGGATCACAAGGGAAAATTTATTGGAGCACTGGGGAACTATCTGAGAATGAAAAAGAACTGATGTAGTTCCCATATTAAAAAAAACAGATCCAGAAAATTATAGATCAATGAGCCTGACATAAAAACCTGGAAGATGTTGGAAGAGATAATCAAACAACAAATCTACAAACACCTAGAAGCAAACAAAGTTATAATCAGAAGCCAACATGGGTTTGTCAAAAACAGATCATGCCAAACAAATCATGTTTCATTCTTTGACAAAGTGACTAAATTAGTGGATCAGTGAAATGCTGTGGACTTAGTATACTTAGATTTCAGTAAAGCATTTGATAAAGTAGACTACAACTTACTTCTTGGCAAGCTAGAAAAATGTGGGATAGAGAGCATCACCACTAGATGAGTTTGTAATTGGCTAACAAATCATACTCAACGCGTAGTCCTCAATGGAACTAAATATACATGGAGAGAAGTAAGTAGTGGGGTATCCCAGTATTTTTTTGATTCAGTACTCCTCAATATCGACGGTCTAGATGAGGGAATAGAAGGGGAATCCATTAAATCTGCAGAGGATACTCAGCTGTCAAAAATAGCCAACACCCAGAAGACAAGCTCAACATCCAAAAATATCTTTACAGACTTTAACACTGGCCCCTAAAATGAAATTTAACATAGATAAAAGTAAGGTTTTACACTTAGGCAAGAAAGCCAACTGTATAGGTATAGGATAGGTGAAACTTGGCAGATGCCAGTAACTGTGAGATGGATCTTGGAGTCCTAGTGGACAATCACTTAAATATGAGCCAGCCAATAATGTGCGGCAGCAGCCAAAAAAAGTGAATGCGATCCTGGACTGCATTAATAGAGGGTTAGGATCAAGATCTTGTGAAGTTCTAGTACCGCTTTACAAAGCCTTAGTAAGACCACACTTGGAATACTGTATCCAGTTCTGGTCACCACAATATAGAAAAGATGTTAAGAATCTGGAAAGAGTGCAGAGAAGAGCAACAAGAATGATTAGTGGGCGGGAGACTAAAACTTATGAAGAACAGTTACAGGAATTGGGTGTGATAGCAGGATTCCAATATTTGAGTGTCTCCTACAAATACAAATGAGTCAAACTATTTTTCAAAGTACCAGAAGGCAAGACAACAATGGTTGGAAAGTAACCAAGGAGACAAGCAACTAAGGAGAAATTTTCCTGAGAGCAATCAATCAATGGAACAGCTTGTTTTCAGAAGTTGTGGGTGCTCTATCACTGGAGGCTTTGAAAAAGAACCTGGAATGGTATCTGAAAAGGTACAGGGTCTCCTGCTCAAGCACTAGAAGACCTCCAAGGTTCCTTCCAACTCTGTTATTCTATGTTCTCTGTTCTTTGTTTTCAACACTTCATATTCAGGACAATAGAAGAAGTCATTATCCGCAGAGGAGGAACTTGTTTTGCATCAAATAAATATGATACATTTTTTTAAAAAAATTAATGGATTCCTTGTAGCTTTAAAGGAAAACAATCCAGAGTCCCTCTAAGAGTGAGATGGAAGTTCTTAAATATGACAGATAAATAAATAAATAAACACATTAATTTTTTTTCATCCTATGACCTCTTTACAGTTGCAAGTAGACAGAATAATTTTTTTCAGGGTAGTTTGATACTATGGTACTGTTTTGCAAGTGTTTGAAGAAAAGGTTTAAGACAAGTGTTGTTGCTTATGCTTTATTTTTAGGTATTTGTATTATTTTAATGCACTTGAGAATTACTAGGTAAAATCCACAAGTGCATATCTGCTGTTACGATGGCTTATGTCCGCATGGTGCACTGCGGCAGTGATTTTATATTCCCTCCAAATCTTCCCTCTGTATCAAAATCCTTTTGTTATTATTTTTTCTGTAGATTAATTTTTTTAATCCTCTATTTTTTATATACTGTTGATGATTTAAGCAACTTCAGGTTCTTTGTGAAATAATGATGTGTCATCAGTGAAAGTATCTAATAACCATGTCTACTTTTGGTCTCCTTTTCAATTATCTTTGTTTTTTCAAGTATCAGGATCTTCTCTGATAACTCCTACCCTTGCATCATGTATCCAAAGTATTTAGCTTCATGGCTAGAGTTTGGGGAAAGCAATCTGGTTTCATCTGGTATTGAATAATTTGCTCTTTGTGGTTCAAGGTATTCCCAAAAAAATTTTTCTAGTATCAATATTCAAAGCATCAATTTTTCTTTGTTCATTTTTTTAATGATCCAGCTTTTACAGCCATGTGTTATATTTGGAAACCTATGGCTGCGACAGTATCTACTTTGATTGTCGCTGTGGGGTTTCTGTTGTTTAGTACTGTATTTTGTGTAGATATGCCCAAGTAATATAAATCTGTTCCATGGTTAAAGTCATCTTCCCTGTGAATTTTTGAGTCTAGGAAGATAAAGATGTTAGTGCTTCAACTTTCCCTATTTGCATTGAATTAAGTCTGTCTTCTGTCATCTGTTTTTATTACTATCAGCATAGCATATCTGCATATCAGATGTTGTTGAATTTTGTCCCAGAGTTTTAATTCCTGTTCTTCTAGTCTAACATTTCACATGATATGGTCTGCAAATAAGCTAATAAATAGACAATGTACAACCTAGACATGCTCCTTTTCCAATCTTGCCTTACTTGCTCTGTATTCTCTTCTAACTGTTGCTTCCTGATCATCATACTTCAATAGGCATAGAAAGTAGCCGAGTTCACAGTTTTCAAAGGCTGTCCATTTGTTGCGTTCTACACAATCAAAAGCCTTAGTCTAATTGATACGGCAAAAACAGGTGTCCTTCTGGAACTTCACTGTGTTTTCCTTATAAAGAGAGAGAACCAAATATTTGAACTCTATAATGTATACAAGATATTCATCATTAGGGTTTTTGCGTATTCTAAAATCATCTATATTCATATTCATCAGTCACATGGGTGAAGCTAATTTGGAAAAATGAACCTAGCTGTGGATATCTAATGAAGTTCTTACCCTACAGTTTCTAACTGCTATCTTACCTGTATGTTTCATATTTTATCTTAATATCTGGACACATTTCCTTTTTTTCGCAGCATGGACACTACTTTTACATTCACTGCCAGCCCCTCTCAGCCACAGGTAAGTGATAATAATTATATATGGTAATGATAAATACCATCTTTTCAAAGTTTAATTTAAATCCAAGGTGTTAGAATATTATTTTTGGCTATTTATTACAATTGGACGTATTTGCCCTATATTACAAATTGTAGGGCAGAATGGAGCCAAATTAAACAGCTATTAATAAAAAAGCCTCAACATTATAAAATCAATGCTTATACATAGATTAAAGCCTCCAGTAAGACACAAATGTTTGTATAAATAGCCAGATCTTCATACTGGAAGGAAGTCACTATTGCTGCCAACTGTACAATGTTATTCATAGGCACTGAAATGAAATTGCATTCATGCCATGCTGTACATTACTATATACAGTAATGGGCAGCTCTTAATGACAGGATGAAGAGAAGAGTCCAAGAAGGTACAAAAGCAGCTCTTCTTCATTTAAGTCAATATCTGTGTAGGACTTTGGCATTACTAACTACCTCTATATAATGGGCAGAGAGGCATGTGTAAATTGATAAAATCTCTCTTCTGTCTTCTTGGATTCTTGAGTCCAAACTAGATAAATCTCCCCTGGAGGACATGGAATGCCTATATATAATGGCAACTCTAATACTCCAATCTAGATAAATGCTATACTAGTATCTGGGTATCTGATGCTGGATGACATCAATGCTAACTCAACAAGGTCCTCTACAGTACTCAGGTGTGGATATTTAAGCCAGGGAAGAACAAGGTTCATTGGTTTGATCTTGCAGTATTAGTATTAGAAGCTGCATGAACCTGATAACAAAATTGAATAAATACGTTAAATCTCTTTAAGATCCAGGTTGTATTGGCAATCAGTCTCTGATCATTACATCAGTTGACGATAAAAGAGATGCCAATAATGATTTCCTCAGGGATGAAGAAACCAACCTGGCATATATTATCCACATCTAATTTATCCTATTACCCTTGTTTGTAGAACAACAGAAACATTAAAATAGCAAAAAATATAATTTCAAAACAGCATTCTTTAATAAAGTGAATCAGAAATATAAGACATAATGGAAATGTGGTTTCTACTACACTTTTTCATTCTTTAAATGCTATTAGTTTTTGAAAGAAAGGTCCTTTCTGCATGATGTCTTGCTTATCCAGTGCAGCTTCTGACCCATAATGTCCCACTGAAACATACAGGGAAAATCTAACAGTGGAAATCAGCAACAATATAAGTTTTCCAAATTTCCAGTACTGCAATTCCATAAAAATAAATAAACATCGATAAAATATGTAATAGCTAAATAAATAGGCAAAACTGTTGCGAATAGGAGATGGTTTTGACAGGTAGCTAGAGTCATTCAGCAGCGTAATTTAATTTAGTTTACCTTTATTGTCATTGCACCTCGTACAACGAAATCAAACACAATCTTCAGGGCACATCATGACCATGACCATGAAAATAAACACAAACACACATCCTTCACCCTTCACACATTGAACCGAAAATACCCAACACCACACCAACACTGCACTATACAGCAGAATTCAAAAGAGCTACTGCCCTGGGATAGAAGCTGTTTTTCAGCCTATTTGTCCTTGTTTTTATTATTCTGTACCGTCTGCCAGATGGTAATAGTTAAAAAAAAGTGTTCCCAAGATGAGATAGGTCTTTGAGAATGTTTTGAACTTTCTTAAGGCAGCAGGAGCTATAAAGCTCTTCCAAAGAGGGGAGAGGGCAACCAATGATCTTCTGGGCAATGACATTAACCCTCTGGAGTGCTGTCCTATCTGCCACTGTGCAATTGGCAAACCATTACAGAGGTGCCGTATGTTAAAATGTTCTCTATGGTGTAGTGGTAGAAGGTCACCAGCAGTTTTTCATTCAGTTGTTGTTTCTGAGAAGTCTCAGGTAGTATAATCTCTGCTGGGCCCTTTTGACCAGGGCTGCAATGTGAGCATCCCAGGTCAGGTCTTCTTTTAGGGTAACACCCAGCAACTTAAAACTGGCCACTTGCTTCACTCAGTCTCCATTGATAAGCAAGGGCTGGATGTCTGATCTGTTCCTTCTATAATCCACTATAAGCTCCTTGGTCTTATTGGTGTTGAGGACCAAGTTTTTGTCTCCACACCACGAAAGCAACCAGTCCACCTCATCTCGGTAGGCAGACACATCCCCCCTGTAGATAAATCCCACCACTGTTGTACCATCAGACCCTCTCTGGGGGGAGACAAGTCAGTCTTTTGTAGGAGAGCAGGGATAGTCTGGTAACAAATGGTCAATAGGTGGACATTAGGATCAGGACTAGGATAATCCAAATGGATGGAGTAGAAATCTACAAAATATACCAAAAAATTGGCAGAAACAGACATCATTTTTTTAACCAATGAAAACAATATGAAATATATTTTTTTAAAGTGAAGCACCCCTGCAATCTACATACTATGTAGACTATCACCTACTAGAGAGTCTCAATAAAAATATTTTAACATATCACCCTAATTTAAACCCTACTCTGTCTATATGCCTGATGAAGTGAGCAGCTTCTGTCTTTTAACAAAATTTTGTCAGTAAGAAAAGCTGCAACCAGATTTTTTCTGATTTTCACCAATGTGATGTGACTGAAAGGAAAGCTGCATAGTAAACTGCATTTTTTTTCCTTCTGTTCAAGTCACTTGAGATTCTGCCTTGACTAGTCCCTGCTGATTTTTTGGCAAGGTTTTTTCGGAAGTAGTTTCCCATTTTCTCCTTCCTAAGGGTGAGAGAAAGTGAGTGGCCCAAGGTCACCCTGTGGGCTTTGTGCCTAAGGCAGAATTAGAAAGAAATGGTAGGTTTAAGCCTTAAAACAGGAGATGTAAGGGCACAGATAACTAAGTAAAATGTTTCTTAGAGGAAGGCCATGTTGTGTGCCATGTAATCCCACAATGCAAGCCAAAAAAGTGAATTCCACTTGATAGTATAATCAATTACTCAGGCATAGAAGGACTTCCTTCTACTCCTTCCTTCCGTTCAGCAGAAGTAAAACTTGGATAGGCATCTGTCCATATTTTAATTTGAATTTCTACACTGAGCATGGAGTTGAGCTTGAACTAAGTAATCAAATCATAGAATTGGAAGTGACTTTAGAAGTCAACTAGTGCAACCCTCTGCTTAGTACACTTTCAGGAAGAGCACTTTTGACAAACAACTATTTCACCTCTGAAGATCTCCAACAGAAAATAACTTTCCCCTATATATGGCATCCTCTTCTATTAGCTGGCAGCTGCTGTGATCAGGAAGTTCTTCCTCTGCCTGGCCTATACCAACTTCCTTGTAATATTACCCTCTTGATTCTGGTCCTGCCCTTGAGGCAAGAGAGATAGCAATATTTGCTTACAATAGCAGTAGACAGCAATATTTGATGGGTGTGTTAGCCCTTCAAATATTTGCAAACTGGTGTCATTTCTCCTTCAGTTATTTCTTTTGAAGGTTAAATATAAGTAGACTTTTTAAACCATTCTTCAGAGGCAATGGTTTCCAAACCTTCAGTATATTGTGTGGTAATTATCAAATCAGAAAGCTTCTAGAGGCAATGCTGAAGGTGTATTTCCTTGACAATAAAAAGCAGAGGAGCAGGGTTTGGCCTGGCAGGGGACACTTATGGGCTTCTTTGCCTTCATCCCCCATCTTAGTTTGTGCTTATCCTCTGCTCATTCAGTTTCCAGCAATATCTGGCCTCACTCACCTGTTAAAAGGTTGCCGCATTGCCATCCCTTCAAAAAAAAGGGGAAACTGAATGCCTATTTTTTCCCTTTTGGTAAAATGAACTGATTTTTTCCAGAACCTCCTAATTACAGATAGTCCTCAACATATAACCAGAACTGGGATCAGAATTTCCATTGCTAAGCAAGGTGGTTGTTAAGTGAGTCATGCCCAATTCTATGGCCTTTTTTGCCACAATTGTTAAGCAAATCAGTGCAGTTAATATGGTCATTAAGTGAATCCAGCCTCCTCCATTGACTTTGCTGTGGGAAGCCTTCAGATAGTGATCACTAAATGTTTTTACGAACGGCCTGATGGGAATAGTAGGCTTTTAATTGTGAGTTATTTCCCCAACTAAATATTTTAAAAATGAGAATAGTAAAATCCAGTATGAAAATAAAAATCAATAAAATGAAAGTGGGCCATTTTGGGTCCTTAGAATGCCTTACAAGGCTGATTTGGTCCTTGGTTTTGTACCCCCAAAGATACCTGATTTGCTTAACAATTGTGGCAAAAAAGGCCATAGAATTGGGCATGACTCACTTAACAACCACCTTGCTTAGCAATGGAAATTCTGATCCCAGTTCTGGTTATATGTTGAGGACTATCTGTAATTAGGAGGTTCTGGAAAAAATCAGTTCATTTTACCAAAAGGGAAAAAATAGGCATTCAGCAGTTAAAGTGAGGTGGGGAAGCTTTGATAACTGTGCCAGAAGAGCACTGAGCATTATAAAGGTATGGTGGAAAACAGGAAGGCATTTCCTTAATTACCCCAAAGGTGCTTTTCAAAAGGCAGGTGACTTTGTTTTTCCTTGAAGATGTTTTGCTTCTTCAGTTCTGAAGTTCTTTAAATCTTTAAATATAAGGGGAGCCCCAGTTACCTGAGATAGTCATGCTGATGCCACCATGCATCTCAGTCTGTGCCTGGCTTGCCCTATTGTCAACCATGACCTGGATGACTGTGTTCTGGTTCGCCGGCAGCCTGTGCAGACGGCAGTGGAATCGGACAGTGGGGAAGAATGGGGATCAGTCTGGGAGTCTGGAGAGGATGCAGACGAGGGTCTGCATCCGATGCAGAGATGGGGCCAGGACCATCTGGGAATGGGGTGCTGATTCCGGAGCCTTCAGAGTCTGGCAGCAGCGAGGCTGAGGAACAAGGGGAGCCTGTTCCCAGTGCGTGTGTGCGCAGAGCTGCTAGAAGGCAAGAGCAGCTGAGACAAAAAGGGTGACTCAGGAGTAAGGCTTGGAGGTGATTGCCCCTCCCATAAGGTATAAAGGACAGGCAAAGGTAAATAAATCTTTGTAGGAAGCAATGTCATTTGTTCTGTTCGGATTAATCCTTGAAGCTCTGTGTGGACTTTGTACTTCCATTGTTTTTTTTATAATTCATTTGGCACTCTAGCTGTTGGCAGCAATTCAAAGGAGAGAAAGGTGGGTGCTTATCTTGAAGGGATTGTTTGGGACTCATTACCGGCTGGGAATGAAAAACAAGAGTTATTTTAACTAAGCGTGTGCTTAATTACGGTCTCAGGAAGCCTTGGTCAGAACAGACTGAGAATCCTCATAGACATTTCCTTCATTAAGTAAAAGCTTTGTCATCTCTTCCAAGCCATTAGAGATATAATAATTTTTATTTTATTCTTAATTTCTTAATTTCCCTTTAGATTAAAGATTAATTTCCCTTTAGAATAAAGTTAAGCAATTATATATTCACAAACTGGAACTCTTCCAACCAGGCACTAACCAGCCCAAAGTTTGGTTTACTGTGGTGAAATTGTTGTATTGTGTGGATGTGAGAGCAGTTCCCTGAGTGGCCAGTAGCTGAAAAACTTGCTTCATTTAGCATCCTTCTCATACATAATATACATTTTCATAGGGTCTCTGGTGGCTGATAGTCACTCTGGAATTTGTGCTGCTATTGGTTGAGGGATTATTTATTGATCATATTTATGGGATTAATTTTTGGTTGGGGTTTGAGTTTAATGCTGATTAATTATGTGGAGATCCTTACTCCCATTTAAATAAACCCAGGTGGAGCTCTACTTTAAATGTTACCACTCAACAGGGCAAGTCAGGTAGAGACTCAGAAGGCATGATGGCATCAGCATGACTATCCTGGATAAATGGGTCTCACTCATACTTAAAGATTATCCTTATAGCAGATAGGATCATAAACATATTTTCTCCCTTCATAGTACTTTTTGTACCAGTTCCCTCCTGATGTGGATTCTGTCATTGTCAGAGTGATTTCTAAGACAATCTATCCCTGCTCTGTGGTCTCCATCCAAGATATTGTGGTAAGTCCTGCTAGTTTATGATAGGCTACTTGAATATTGGCAGTGTTTGTCTTTGCTTATGGTACTGTTGCTGCTCAGTTGTAATATTTAATGTGGTGTGAATCAGATTTGGAGCATTCCTGCATTCTGAGCCAAATTGGGCAGCTCAGACAGATCTGAGGTGCCTTCAAAGCAGGTAGATTCCAAGCCTGAATCCTCCCAAAATTGTTTGTGTTCACTTAGGACACAGAGAGAAAAATAGTTCGACTGAAAACTGATTAATTTCTTGGCAACCTTTATCCAAAGAAGACAAATATCCAGTTCAGAGAAGAGGCATGCAGAGATAACCCTGAAAAAGGAATTCAAGGAAGGGTTACATTAACATCTGCTTAGCTATGAAAGAAAGGAGACCGTGAGAAAGAAGCTCAAGATTGTCCCACCTTGATTTTCTTGGGTATAAAGAGAAGGACAGAGAGAAACCCTTGTCGGGATTTCAAGATTGTGTTATTACACCTTGCAACAGAGTTCCAGTAGCCATTGTAGAGGCTGTTTCCTGACTCGACTTTTCTCAGAGGACTGACAAATTGGCTGAGGAGGAAGGGAGGGCATTGTTTTTGTTAGTGACATTACTAACTTCCAGTAATAATGAACAAGAGCAGTGATGATAAAACAGTCTTGTTTTACTTTCGAAGTGTCTCACAAAGAAGAGGCAGGTGCTGTTTAGGAGGAAAAGCTGTTTCTGCCTTATTGAGAGTGGCAGCCGTACAAACGTGGGATGGAGACACAGACTCTGCATGGCCCAAACTTGTATTGTCCCCCTTTTCCATAAGGCAGAAATGATACTACCTTATTACCGTCATTCTTTCTGTGTAGAAGGTATTTTTTTCATTCCTCCCCTATTCATTTCCTTCTTCCCTTCCCATGTTTGTTCCTTTTCCCCATTTCCCAGGTCAGATAACCCTTAGCTTCATCCCCATCTCACCTTTTCTTTTCCCTGTTTCTGCTGCTTGGAGGGAGAGCAATGTTTGTGGATACATGCATATTTGTGTGAGTATGTGCAGAGAGTTCCTTGTGTAGGCTCAATTGTTTTCTAGAGTATGGCTTTTATGTGAGTTTGTTTGGGTGTGCGTACACTCACAAGTGTAGAACTCCTTATCTTATTTGTTTGTTTATTTATTTATTGTTACTTGTTTATAGGGATGGTTGGCATTTCTGCAGGTGGTTTACCTGAATTTGGCAACCCTATGCTGAGAAAGTGGGAAACCTGCCCATTGCACAGGAGTTTTGTGTGTGTCATTTGTTTCTTCTCTAGTATTCATTTTGGGAGAAGGGTTCTTTGAAATTCAAGGTCATCTTCCATTTTGATAAAGGTGGTGTATAATAGTACCATGTGTTCTTTAATATTTCTTTCTTCTAGGCAGAAACATTTTTTAAAAATGGTATACAAATTAAGCAAGCTCAAAGTGGCTCCAACAGGGAGCAACTGAATTGCTCTGTGGTGTAATGAAACATGGGAATAAACTGAAAGTTTGAAACAGTTTGAATGGCCCTCTTCTGAACTGTGATCGAGAGAAGGAGAGAATCGGGAAGTCCTGCCAGGAATCAATTCCAATAATCAAATATACACAAGCAGAGGTAGCTCTCTAATCAGCTTTTTCATCTGTTGCAGTGTCCAGTTTATGATTTGGATTATAACGTGGAATTTAATGGAGTTTACCAATCCATGACAAAGCAGGCAGCCCTCACTGTGCAGGTGAGTGGGTGGTGCTGTCTACTGCAGTCAATCTGCTTTTGTTGGAGGGGACCAACTAAACCAATTTGCAGTCAATAATGTGGATGGATAGAGACATTTTGGAAGGTAGAAGCTTGGCTGGGAACATCTGTCCATATTTAGGGAGAAGAGCATGGGGAAGCTGGCAAGCATAATAGAGGACAGGCAATACTAGGCCAGGAGAAGTTGACTGCAGGCAGATAAGGAATGATTGAGTAATGTGGGACAAGTCCAACAAAGGGAGGGAGAAGGAATCAAATGTAAGGAAAAACATATCAGAATATTGTACGTTTCCTTGAATTTGAATATGTCGATGCTATGCGCGCACACAAAAACATACCTGCAAACAGTTGAGAAGTCTCAAGGAGTTAATTTTCATTAGGAGTACTAGTGAGAGCATGGTCACTAAACCAGAGATAGCCGATAATCTTGGGTCAAGAAGCATATTTGGAGTTTTGAGAAAATGTTGAGGGAAGCATCATGGCCCCCTAGACCTCTTTGGCAGCTCCAGAAGACACCAGGTGTTCCAATTTTTGAAAGCATAAATAGCCCTTTTCAGGATCATGATTTCCTTCTTTAGAAAAGAATTAGGGTCAAAATAGGTAACTTAAACCTCTTGGAAGCTCGAGACCCTCTTTTCTGTAATAAGATCTTAACTCCAATTGTATTTTAAATGTTTAGTTATACAGTAGTTTATTGTGGTCTTCTACTAGCATAAAGTAAAAATGTAGACATTATGAAATTAACAGCTACTGTATGTCTTGAAAACAATCTGTGAAGATAGTGAGTTAAAAGATAGCAATTAGTATTAAAAGATAAAGTTAAAAGATGGCAAAATAAAAGCTTAAAATGTTTATAAAATTAAGAACTACAAAAAAACCTCTAAACTAAAATGAAAATTTAATTAAAATTAACTGCTGAATAAAATATACTACAATTGCAAAAACATTTAAAGGAAAAAAACTCATTAAAATTCAGTTGTGGCGAGAAGTTATAGAACTGAATAACCAAGAAATAGCAGGATAATAATTACGACTGATTAGCTTAGCTGGCACTGACTACCTGGCAAATTTTACACACTATGCAATGCAAACATGGCAACGTTACATTAAGAGAGAATTACACTCGGGGAGCACATACAATAAGTCAGTATGGCCTGGGAAAATACAAATGGTTGTGTAAAATGGGCAGGAAAGGAGGACAGGCTGGAAGGGACTTGGGAGGTCTTCTAGCCTAATGTAGCCCAAGGCAGAAGACTTCATTCCATGACATGGTTGGTGGCATCTTGAAAGCACAGATGTTCTTGGAAGAAGATCTTTCTTTCATCTTCCATCTAACACAGCAAAAGAAAGGCATTGGTAGTGAGCCAGATCTTTCAATGGGTAGGAGCTGTGTAAGATATGCAGCTGTTGTTACTATATATATATTACAGTAAGAATCCTAACTGAAATAATGTTATTGATTTGCTTATGTTCAGTTATCAACAATCATAAATCCAAAATACAATGAATATTGCATCTTTTTTTTTAAAAAATGCATTAAATTACATTAAAAACCTGAAACAATGTGAAAGCGCATCAGCCATGACCATTGATAAGAATTTTGCAATCTTCTTAGGCTTCTTTCCATTTTGCTTACATTATAGGCAATTTAAAGAAGGTACAGTATTGCTTGTCCAGGAAAGATACATTTGTTAGGGTTAAGGTCACTTGATTTCATATGGATCTAGTCAACTCTGCAAAGAATATTTGTGACACATGATTTTTGTGCCATAATACATGGGCATAATAAATAATGGGCACATCTTGCATGTTTGTCACATTTGTGGACCTGCTTTTGCAATGTGCATAATAATATATGTTGATGTTGGTTTATCTGTACATATTGACAGGATTTTATTTTATTTTTTTAAATATAAGAAATCTTTCATTTTGTATTATAAGAACTAGCTTAGAAGTAGACTCCTTTTTTTACTTCTTATGTTGTTTTAGACTCACTACTGGCCAAACATAGCTACTGCATGCTAAACCTTTGGAATTCTGAATAATTTCTACCTAATGATTTCCTCTTTCGCAAGAAAAGTCTTTATAACAAAATAAAAGGATTTCCTTTCTCTGGGCATTGTGTATGTCAGTCTCTGCTATGATTTCATTTATTGCCTAGATCTTTTTAAAAAACTGACTTCACAACAGTGAAAGAGCAGAATAATTGCTTTTATTTCAATACCTTCTAGAAGGATTAAAATTTGCTGTTTTTAAAGAAGACAAGTGGAGAATATGAAGACCAGGACTTATTTGGGAGATCAATGTCTCCTGTTCCTCCCCTCCCTCACTGCTCAATTATCTTTCCTAACTATAGTTGTCTAACAGCATTACAAATTATTGTTTTTTTGTATCGCACAGAAAAAGGACTTCCCAAGCAAACAGTTTTTTGTTGTATTTGTCATAAAGCCAGAGGACTATACCTGTGGCAGTTCAATACCACCCTCCATTCAAGGTAGGTGAGTTATGATCAAGAAGGCCAGAAGAATACTGTCTCTCAGAGTTTCTGTTTTGGATTGTAGTTATCCTAGACCTAGACTGTTATGGCAATCACAATGAGACATATATTTAATTTCCTTGAAAGAAGTCAAACTAGGTTCTGGGAAATGGAAGCAAGAGTTTCCAGATGGGCACCCTTCTATGAAGACACACTGACTGAAGTATGAAATAGTGAGGCCACTCAAGCTGTCACTTTAAATGCAGTGTCTTCTGCTCTGACTACCTTTCATGCTGATCTGGTCATGTAAGACGGTGTTAGTCAAGATGCCTTCACAATATAAGGAGTCGTGGCTCAGTTTTTTATCTTTCTAATTCAGGAACAGAGCGTGACCTACACAAATCTCTATGGCAGTAATGGGGAACCTTTGGGCCTGCTAAGGTGGCTTCCTCTTATTTAGGATAGAGGAAAGGCCATTTAGCTGGGAACTCTACCTTGAGATACTTAAATCTCAATTAGCAGCCTCTAAAGGCTTTCCTTCCAGAATAGGAAGTGTAATAGGAAGTGCAAATGTATGTTCTCCCTCCACTTCACTGTCTCTCTTCCCTCTTTCCATTCAAGAATTCTCAACTATTTTGATTTCTTTCTTTCTGGAAGCCATGGTCTAGTACAGTTCTCATGACCTGCAAACTTTTTGCATGATCAAATCATATGTATGTACATGCACGTATGTATTATGTTTCTCCTTTTCAGGAAAGACTAACTACACATGGAACCTTCAACGAATGAAGCATCTTGAAATGACAGTGTTACCTTCAGTTAAAGGTCTTGAAACATAATTCTGTATTTTCCTAAAGTTAACAAAAACCAATGAACCTCTACTATCATTACAGTTACAGTTTTATTAAAATAGTACAAAGTAAGGCATAACATACTCTGGTAATATTATGAGTTTGCACACTAGCATGTGCTAACTGGTTATTTGATTCTCTCATTCTTCAATTTGCTGTAATCCTATTTGGCACAGATTTTCATTCCAGTACAAATACTGGATTTTGAAGAAATGTTTTTTCTTAGAACCACAGAATAGAACAGATGTCTAAGTCTTGATTGCAAGTTACCTTACAAATCTATCTTCCAAGTGGAGAATAATGTTGAGGATTGCATAGAGTAAGAGGAAGAAGTGAGCATTTACCATTTATGCATGAAATTGGAGGAGCGAACAACATGGTAGCAGAGGAGTGAGCTATAATTTTTTCACTACTAATGGTATATGCTTGTGTCTTTTTCCTAGGCACTGTTTATATACATGCCATCCTTTTCAGTTTTCTGACTTTCTTCTCCTTCTACCTGGGTGCGCTAGTGGTTGGATTTGTGCAGTACATCAGGTACATAGACCATTTAACACTATTTATAATAAAGCATGTTTCCATTTACTAAAGTGTTTAGGGCTGTGTGATGGTATAACATATGATCAAGGCACAACACCTGCTTTGGATTATGAAAAATTACAATAGACTAATTAAGAAAGTCTTGTACTGTATGTAGATGAAAGGTTGTGATGACATTAGCACAATAACAATATCATTAATGTGACTGCTTTTATAATACAGTAGAGAGACAAAATGGGTTTTCTGATGGTCCTTCTTCCATATCTACAAGCATTCAAATTACTTAATGTCTGCCACAGAAATAATAAACTGTTTGTCTGGACCATACGTGGTACATCTTTGAATGTTAATTTCCTTCCAACAACGTGGTTCACCACAGTATTCATCTCTAGCCAAAAAGGAATTACCATTAGACATAAAAGCATATTCAGTAATGTCCCTTCATATTTATTGCATCTCCAGCATAGAAAAAGGGACAGCCAATAAGAAGAGTTCAATATGTCCCAAAGATTTGATTTGATTGAGTTTTTAAATAATAAAATATTTAATTTTGCATTTCTTAAAGCTTTGGTTTTCTTATATACATATACTAATTCTGTACTCCATACTACCTATATAGTATTGAAATTTATTTGAATACTAGTGTTTAATTTCCTTATAATACTGAATTGTTGGTTTAGTCTAGGTAAACACGTTGTTGGTCAAAACTTTGTCTAGTACAGATAAAAATTCCACTTCAGTGCCAAATAAGGAACATAACAAATGACTCAATTGAGGATATTGTAATTTGGCAGTTTATTTTGGGGTACTTTTTTAAATGTTTGAAAATATTCTTACATTAATTAATTAAAAAGTCTTTAATTAGTTTAAAAACATTTTTCAAAAAATAAAAAATCCAAAGTCTTTTCCTGCATTTCTAAATAAACATTATTCCAATGAGTATATTTTTTATGATAATGAAAATCAGATTTTAATTTCTTACCTAGAAAGGCCCATACATGTCAAACTACATTAAATACTGGAAACATCATAAAAATTCTATTATAATTAGCTCTAAGAACATACAGGAACTTTAAAGATATTTAATAACATATCTTAACATGAGACCACAATGAAACATATTTAAGATGTATCCAATAATTTCATTCTAATGCAGTCTTGGTATGTCTTAAAATCAGGAAAAGTAAAATCACAATTTTCTTGTGAAGGATGTATTTTTGAAATCATCTTGAATATTTATTCTTTCCTTTTTAAGATCCAGTTAAGTTTTAAAAACTATTTAAATTGAACCAATGTAGGCATAACTCTCAAATGTGAATGTAGAAGCTATATCATTTTCACTACATTTACTCATCCCCCAAACTCAGGGTTAATTTCATCGATCTCTCTAGCTCAACTTTCACCAGGGTGAAACAATTTGAAATATTCATGTCAATTAAGAAATACTTTATTGGGAATAAATTATTACATAATAAGTTATGTAAGAGTGTCAGCACTGAATTTAAAAAATATATTTTTGTCATTTTGTCATTATTATTTGTTATATATTCTGAATATTTACCATATGTTGAAAAATCTCTACAAAATATGATACAGAATTTAAAAGACTCAAAATATTATCTGCATATAATAGATTACATTCATACATTATCATATAGTGTTCCATTAGAATGTCATCACATTGATTTATTCAAAGTATCAATGGTTCCAAAACCAAACTAAATATAGATGAACATAAATGGCATCCTTGACATGTATTCTTTTGCATTTCATAGCAAAAAATACTCCTATTCATAATCACCTGATGATAATTAGAATTAATATGTAACAAAAAATCATGTAACCCAAAAACAAAACAGTTTATATGTTAGCAAAGGCTTTTTGCAATTACCTTTTTCCAAGATAATAAATCTAATAATCAAACAGTATCAGATGCTTGAAATCTTTTTATAAATCCAAATTATGCAGGATATGTTCTTGAACTTTTGTGCCAAAGTAGCTGTTGATTTCTTAGCAGCGGTGTTTTACAATGAAAATGGTCAATAGTTTCACCCAATTCAAAATGATCTTGCCAATTTTTAAAATAACTATTATATAAAAGTTATAATTTTATGATAAATAGTTGCCTCTTACTATTTAGAGACATTGATGACATCTATATGTTTATATTTGTGCTTGATTTCAGATTTCATAGGAAAACATCAATAGGAGGACTTAATGGTGGTAATTATGCTAATATATTGTGTTGCAATTGTAGAGTTGGAAGACATGTCGTGAGTTATTAAGTTCAGTCTTCCATGTGGACCTAAATGTCAAAATATGTTTTGTTAGGGGAACTGTTAAGCTCTGTACCATCATTGCTGTGAGTTGATGCCTTGAAGGAGCCAACTTCCTAGAGAAAGTGCAGATTAGTGACTATAGATATGAATGTTTATCTTTAAATTCAGTTATTTCCTAACTTTCATGCAGTTTCTGAAATAAAATCTGGAATCCTCATCAAATTGATTCTTTTTCCATCTTTTCTCTGTCTCATCATTAAGCCGTGTGGTTGTAAAGTGCAAAGTCACTGACTACATCACTTAGTGATGGCAATCCTGTCCATCCATGATCAGTTGTTAATCAAATCTCAGCCAGTCATTAAGTGAAGACCCCTCCTGTTCCAAGCTATTCTCATCCTCCTTCCAGAGATTCCATCTAATTTATCAAAATCCTTTGTTGAACTACTTAATTTTCTTTGGTTGCATGCCAATCAGGAGAACTCCCACCTGATGTTTATTCATCAGCTACAGTATATAGATACTACCCTGGATATTATTAAAATTTGTTATTTTTTCCAGACAACAAATCAGCAGAATTTTAACATAGAGGTCTACTCAAAACTCTACATGGTACAAAAATGTAGTGTATCCAGGGGATCTACAATATCCCTACAACTGAAGTCTCTTCCATTTCATTCTATTTAGACTTAGATTCTGTTGATTTTCATCTCTGTCACTTCTGCTATGATGAGCCAACTTATATGAATTATTCAAGGCGGCCTTTTCCATTTCCTTGCCCAATCCAACTGTTTATCTGGAAAGCTGAGGAAGGTGTTTATTGACACTTTTTCACCAAAGAACAAGCAGCCTCAGCTATCAAGGGATTTTTGTAATCTCAATGGCCCTGACTTTTTCTTCATTTTTCTTTTTGAACTGAGATGTATAATTCTCCTTGGTATAGATGATAAATCTATGAAATTATATGAGCAAGAAAAGGGGATATTGTATTTTCATCCCTCTATCACCATTATTTTCTCATGTAATCTGTCTCAATCTATACCACATTGCTCAGTTTGTATCTGGGCATTTTATCCTTGCAGTGGACAAGCTTCTGCCTGAGCTATTCTTGGGTTTGAAGTGTGCACCTATGTTCTGTTGGCTGAAGATCCTCCTGAGCTTTTCTGATATTCCTGCAACATATGGAAGAGAACAATAAATGAAGCAACGTTGTCATTCCATATGTTGCAGGAATAGTGGAAAAGCTCAGGAAGATGTTCAGCCAACATAACATATGTCTACACTTCAAATCCAAGAATACACTAAGGCAAAAGCTTGTCCACCCCAAGGATTAAACACCCAGACACAAACTTAGCAATGTGGTATATGCAGTACAATGCTGTGAGCCATGTGCAGATCAGTACATTGGGGAAACAAAATAACCATAAATGCATGGCACAACATAGAAGAATAAACCCATCAGAACTACCTTCAGCAGTCCATCTGCATTTAAAAAACAAAGGCCACTCTTTTGAAGACAGCAAAGTCCACATTTTGGACAGAGAGGACCACTGGCTTGAAAGAGGGATCAAAGGGTCATCTATGTCAAAATTGAACATCCCTCTCTCAACAAATACGACGTCATCTATCTCCAGTCCACAGCACAGTCCCTTCAACATTTCCAAGAAGGCTCCACACTCATTTGCACCACTTAGTTGACCCTGATGACACAAATAAACCTTCATGTGGCCTTAACGACTCACTAAAAGAATGCAAATGACCAGCTGTGTACAAGAAATATAAATCCGTCTATTCCCCACCATCCAGTCAGAGTTGAAGAAGCTTCTTGGATGAGAAGCAAAACTTCTTCAAAGAAAAATTTTAAAAGTCCAGTTGCTTCATGGAAAAGCACCTTTGGGACTATCTCAGGGTGGTTGTATTACAGAATCTTGTGGCTCTGTGCTGTCGCAATTAACTCAGATGCTGTTATATATTTGTGTCCCTTAATGTTCCCTTTTACAAAATATTTATTTTGTTGACATTGCATATATTTTTTTGTATTTTTCCAGCAATTTTTGTATTACAACAACATTGAGCATGCTAACTTCCTCTCACATCGCTTTTTAATGAAAATATTATCCAATACACTTTGACTCTTGTGATTCCTTTCACATGTGTGTATACTTTTTGGGCTACTCCCTGCTAAAGAAGGTTAATAGTTGGAATTATACAAGGCTATTGTAACAATTACACCTAAATAATGTATTTGAAAATCTTTAATTTTGAAAACTTCATACTTCTATTAAATAGAAGTAATCAATTTTATAGACAACAGGAAATAATTTAGGTAATAAAGTAACTTTTAAGAAATAAATTTATTTCTTACAACACAGAAAACTATAAACATTTAATTCATAAGCTCTTTATAATGTGAAGCTTAAATAGAGTCATTAGGTGACTTGTGCATTCTGATTTCCCCAAAGTGGGAATTTTGTTTTCTGCTGCCTGGGTTAGGCCAAGATAATAGAAATGTGGCAATTAAGAAGGCTTCTCAGCCTGAATGGTCCATCCCTAAATCCTTGAGATAGCTCAAGGATTCTGCTCTGGACTTGGCCCTCCACCTTCCTTCTCAAGGATTCATTTTTTGAAATTTGCTATTATCAGAAAGTTGGGTTTTCATCATCTGATAGAAACAGAGGGTATAACATAGTGCTTGGCAATGCCTAAAGCCAAATGGAAGGAGACATCTCTTCTCAATTCTAAATATTTGATTATCCTCTCTATTGGGCATGTTGAAAGTAAAAAGCCATTCCATGTTGGTTTACTTTGTAGGTCCTGGGACTATGACTTCTTCTCATCCTATCACTGCCAGCACCCCTGAAGGAAGCAGCTATGGAGCTATAGGTATAGTAATTCTTCAGTCTCAGAGATGTTTGCTATGTCTGTATCCATTATTTAGCTAGTAAAAATAGTGCATTTATGTCCATGAGCTGTTGCTTGAAGTTGAGGATCAACTTGTCATTTTCAGTTTTGTTTCTCTTCTTTTCTGCTGTATTTTTATTGTAGTCCATTTCTGTATCCCTTTCTGTCCAAATTTTTATGTTCCTTTTCTCACATACACATTTTTTAAAATACTATTTGTCTAATGTGGAGGGAGTCAGCTTTTGGCAGCTGGAAAGATAATTGTTAGTCTCAGAATCATGTAAAATAGGAAGAGCCATGGTACATGCTGTACAAGACAGAGTCAAGATTTACAGCAACAGTAGCTTGAATGATGTTACTTAGTTTGTAGGTAATAAAATGTCTGCATGGACACGACCAAGCTCAGAGAGCACCACCAATCAAACAGTTCTATCATAATCTATCATGTTTGATTGGCTTTCTGACTGTCTATCTATCTTATTTATCATCTATCTATCTATATCGATAGACACACACACACATATATACATACACATAAACACACACACACACACACACACACACACACACACACACACACACATATAAAGAGACAGAGTAGCAATAGAGATATGCTGTAGCTGCCAAAAAAGTTAATGCTGTCCTAGATTGTATCAACAGACGAATGGTATCACATGAAGTATCATGCAAGGTATTAGCAGTATATACTGCACTGTTAAGGCCATACTTGGAATACCACATCCAAGTCTGGTCACCATGATACAAAAAAGATGTTGAGACTCTAGGAAGAGTGCAGAGAAGAGCAACATATAATGAACATTGTGCTGTTGCAGCAAGAGGGGGCTGGCAGTACAGGCTGGCTGAAGCAGCGATGGAGACGACTGGAAGGTGCAGGAGCACCGTGCTACTTGCATTTGCATAGCATTCCCACACCTTCTAGCTTGCCTGTCCTGTCCTGGGCTCTTCCTCGATGTCTGCGGGCTGTAGGGAGGGCCCGGGGGAGGAAAAGTACTGGCTGGTGATGGTGGGAGTAGGTGAGTGGGCAAGTCTGCACTCACCATTCAGTTCAGAGGTCCAGAATGGGGCGTCATCAGTTTTCTTGTCCCTCTCGGTGCTCTGCTCTGACCTGGGCTTGCTGCTGGTGGGTGGGGTCCTCCTCAGGAGATGCCCTTGCCCCATGGGGAGAGCCCAGCACGCACATGCTCTGGGGAGAGGCTTCGAGGCCTGGAAGGAGGGACCCTTCTCTGCTTGGAAGTGGCAGGAGAAACCTGGAGCTCAGCCTCGGGGAGTCCTCTTGTTTGGAGGACGAAGGTGGGGGTGTTGCCTGGTTATTAGGAGCCCGTCTTCCTTGGAGCTCTTTTGGTCTGGGCATCTGACACCACCCGCCCTTCACCAGTCCTGTGACTACTGCAGCTCTGGAATATGGGATTGACTTTCCCACCAACATTAACAAGCCACTGTTAGTCAAAATTCACATTAGGGGTCTGCGGGATTTGAAATTATGAGTTTGGTGGTCCCTGAGGTCCAAAAGGTTGGCGACCCCTGCTCCAAAGCACCTGAGTGTAAGACAAGATGTAACATGGAAACTTATCAAAGAGAAATTCCATCTAAGAACTCAACCTCAACAAATTCTGTTCCTCTAAAATATGCTTCAGATTTCTTTGATTTTCTTTCTCTTTTCTGACAAGAACTGTTTCTTCACCTTTCCTCAACAATTCTTGCCTATTTTGGGCTGTCATCACTGCTTCTGGTTGGCAATATCTTCTCAAAAGCAGAAAAATGTCTTTCACAAGGCGAACATATCTCTGCAGCCTTTGCCCATGTCCCCTTCTCTTATATGGAAGGAATACTTCAACACCATGGTTCAACCCATGGTTAGAAGGAAAATTCATCCCTGCCTGCTTTCTGCGTGGGGTGACAAAGCAACACATCGTATTATGTGCTACAACTGACCCTTGGCATTTGCCTTACTGGAATTAAAAATTTTCCTAGTTGAAATTTATCTCCAAAATATAAATTGAGCGAGTAACTTGTTGTTAAAAGCACTACTACTTATGGAGGGGGGGGGGGAGTTCTCATACAAATTATTATTTCTGAGCAAAGGGATGTAGCAGAAAATGAAGACATTGGCAGAATTCATACCCATGTAGGAAACAGAAATGAAGATGAAAGTGAAAATTATGAAGATATGAACTGACGGCGACACTAAAGACATTGGAGAGACATGATGCTCCTTACCTGCTTGAATTTGTTGTTGTTTGGCAGTATAAAAAAACCAATATTCATTGTTCAAACCTTATGAGAAAGACTTTCAACATTACTATAAGGTTGTGTACTGACTCGCATAAAAATGAACAAAACAACCAACTTTTGCACCACATTTTTCATTTTCAGATGAATCAAACTCCAGTGGAGGTCAAGAATTATCAACTCTAGATCGCCGGCCTCCTTGTGGCAGTGATACAGACAGCTCAGTGGAAGAGGAGAGTGATTTTGACACTATGCCTGAAATTGAAAGCAACAAGAATGTAATCCGCACTAAGGTCTCTCTTGCAAATGGCTTTTGCATTTTTATAAGAATGTTTTTAACGTATCCTTTCTCTACATCATTGCAGTTATATTTGAAATGCAACAAACTAAGATCTAATAACAAGGGCCTTCAAACTTGACAAATTTAAGACTTGTGGACTTCAACTCCCAGAATGCCTGAGCTAACATGATTGGAGGCGGAATTCTGGAGTTGAAGGCCACAAGTCTTAAAGCTGTCAAGTTTGAAGACCCCTGATCTAAAGCTTTGCCTTGAGAACGTATTTACATGTTATTGTCAGCTTTTTCTCTATGTTCAAAGAATAAAATATTCTGAAAAATGATGGATTGTAAATATTTAGCTCAGATGTATGTGAGGAAGCAGTATAGAACAGGCTATTCTCTACCAAGGAAATTTGCCCAGAAATTAACCCACTTTTAATCAAAACATAAAGACACCAAAATATATCATTTTTAATCAGAGTGTTTCTGCAAAGATTTGTTGATAGAAAGCTTCTTAGCTATAAATGTCTGGTCCCCAAAGAAGGTTTAATTAATCAGGTTCTCATTTGTTATTTATAATTAGAATTGAATAGTATTGCTTATTTTATTTCCTTGTATTTATCATATTTATTATATTTTTTAATCCCACTATTATTCTATAAATAACTCAAGGCAGCTAATATACCTAATAATCCTTCATCCTTCTATCAAAGTCATCCATTCAGCTTTCCTGCCTAAGGCAGGATTAGAGCTCACAGTCCACTGGTTTTTAGGCCAGTACCTTAACCAGTACACCAAATTGGCCCTATATTTTCACATTTTATTATTAATTGCTCCCAAAATCTAATTTTACAGTGTTATAACCTAAATAAATACATCATAACTATAATTTTAGGATATGAGCTATTAGTTCAGGTAATTGTGTTTTATGCAAACAGTAGCATAGGACAGCAGGTACAAGGTTTATGTGAATTCTTGCTGTTTTGAGTATAAATGAAATTAAAAACAATACAAATTCCTTCTCATACCACCACTGGCTGGTTGTACTCTCCACACTCTTTTTAGGGACCTGTGATCATGAAACAGCACAAGAAGTTTCAGAATCTCCAATCTCTCTCTCACTCTCTCCCCCTCTCTTTCTTCTTCCCATCCTTCCAGCATCATCTTTGTCAGGCAGATTTTAGTCCAACTTAATGGTTGTGACTGTGAACCACTCTGTTTAATCACAAACTGTGTGATTCAATCTTTTCTGTCAAAATATTTACTGTCAAGAGCTGGAGTGAAATAAATCTTTTCTTAATTTATATTGTGCAGAGTTTTTGAATATGGTTCTGGTCACACTGGTAATACAGTATGTTAAAATTCAGGAGATTGTGCTCAGATGCCTTACTTTAAGGGAATAAATTTGGTTTCATGTGCTTGCCTTGACAGGTTTGAATGACATTCCTGAGCTGAAAAGCTAGATTGTATTTTAATTCTTTTAATCTTTTTAAAGACCATGAAGAGCTTGTCCTGTTTCTTTTTAGATGTTCCTTTATCTGTCAGACCTATCCAGAAAGGATCGGAGAATTGTCAGCAAAAAGTATAAAATTTATTTCTGGTAAGTTACTAACAAGTTAATGGAACTCATTTTTAAAAAAATTGAACTCATTTTTCTCTTCTTCTCATAAGTTAAACAGAATCCTTTCAGGAATTTTTCTTTGTGAAATAAGAGTCTCATACTGGTTAAATATGGGTTTCCCAGGGCCAAATTGGATAATTTTGCCTTGATGAACCTAGAAGAGAAGTAGATTTCATTGTTTAATTGTTTCTGGGGTGAGTGCCCAGAATGGGCAGATTTTATACTGAGTAACAGGGACATGAGCTTTAGAGGCAATGACCTCAGCACTCTGCATAGTAACCAGAAATGTACTGGCAGCCAACCTCAATATGAATGTTAGCCCTTTAGGCCTGGTCAGGAATGATTGGAATGCTATTTTATTGATTTAGGCCAATGTTTCTTTTTCTTTTTTTTAATAAAAGTTTTATTTAAGTTTTCACAAAACATACAAATAAAATATCTTTTTTTGAGAATAGCGTGGCCCCGGGTTATCACTTCTCCATACAGACATAAACTCGATACATATTTATCTTATACATACTAATCCATATCTTATAACTATTTTCACAATTTTTTCAATAGCTTTTCCCTTTCTTTACTTCCTATAGCCTTATTTTAAATTATCTTATTTATTATTTAAATTATTACCTTTCTTAATTAAATTATTTTTTTTTCTGATTTTTAAAATCTTTCTAATCAATGTTTTTATACTTTCGTCTGTCCTGTTTAAAATTTCATATTATATAAAGCAAATTTTCCCCTGTAATTACTAGACTGGAATATAACACCTTTGTATCTTTTTTCAACTCTTATTTAAAAATTTAAGTTACATCTTTACAGTTATAAGATTCATTTTCTAACCTCTATTTTATATCACATACCTATTTTCAATCGAATTCTGCTTGGTACATTCCCTTAAAATACACACTGAATTCTTAAAAGAAAAAAGTATATATATAAAGCACAACTTCCTTATCGTGGGAAAATACCCGAACAAAGCTGAATATCATATATATATATATATATATATATCATCAGGCTTGTGTATTGTGTTCATCTGCGAGTCAGGTTTTCATAGCCGTTTCTGTTTTAAATTTGGTGCTAGCCTACTGCTGTGTTAGAATGGTTTTTTTCTTCATCCTGATTGGTTGGGAGTCTTGGTCTGTGTTTATTGGTCTTGGAGTTTGCTGTGTTCTGCTTGATTGGTGTTTCTAATATCTTCTGTCTGTTTTGTAGCATTTTTTGATTGGCTGTCAACATTGTGTTTCTGTATTGGAGGCTTTTAGTGCACCTTGGCTTCGGGTAAAAGGACGGCTATCATTTATTAGAAAGCTAGGTTTAATCTGGATGCCTGGTTGGGATGTGTTTGAGCTGGAGGTATCAGGTGGGGTCTGTTTGTGACCAGGTGTTTGCTTGGCTTGTGGTGTGGAGATTTATATATGTGTGTGTGTGTATATATATGTATAACAATAGTCAATGGAATAAATATTCTATTCAAGTACAGCTCTGCCATTAATATTAATAACAATCTTTTACATTTCTATTTCTTTTAACAAACATTACCTAGTAATATCAGTTGTCTTTCACTTTAATCATCTATATTTCATATTTTACTTATTACTGTCTTTAAATAAAAACCAAACAATAGTTATTAACAGTAGTCAATAAAGTTATTATTCTTATTCAAGTTTATCTTGTCAACTGATAAAAATCTTCCATGTTTCTTTTCAGTTTTTTTAAACATTCTTTTTAAATCATTGAGAGCCTTATTCTCTTTACAAACAAATATTCCACTACACATCAATAGAAATTTTTTCTACCACTTTAATCATCTAACATATTTTCTAACCCTTTTCTGTTTCTAATATAACAAAGCTATCCCATGCACCCTTTCAGAATCCTCTCAAGTTAAATTTTAACCATTGTCTCTGTGTCTTTTAAATAGGTTTATACCTTTAATTCTTGTATGCTTTTCCTGTACCTCTATATCTTGTTTCTATCTTTTGTAGCTTCTTTTCCTTTCCCTCTTCCCTCTCTTCTTCTCCCTCCCTTTTTTATTCCCTTTTCTATTTGATTCTCCCTTCTGTGATCCTCCCTTCTGCTTCTTCTTGATATTATTACTTTTCAAATTACTCTTTTTTTTGGTTGTTGCTTCAGTGCTTAAGTTTTTAACTCCCTTTCCCCGCTTTCCCTTTTTTATCCCGCTTAAATCATTATTGCTTCATCATTAAAGATGGCTTCTTCGTTGTCCCTTCTTGTTCTGCCAGAGTTTCTTGTTTTTCATAGTTCAAGTTCTCTGTTTCTAAAAACTGAAATACGAAGCCAAAAGATCCTTTTCCATTTTGTGCTTCTTCTTTTTGTTCTTTAAGTCTCATTTTTAACTCTTGAAGGAGTGATGTCATTTTAAAAAAATTTAAACAACCCCCAATTGATTTTATTTTATTTCATTAGGATCCTCCATCCCAAGTTCCAGGAATCATCCAATAATCCAAAACTGTTTCTAGCTTCTTTTCTCACTTTCTCTTTCCAGGGGCTTTATTATCTTGTAACAAAGTTTCAGCTACAATGTATCTTTTGGAAGCCTTGTTAAAATTCCACTGTCAATTTTTTTTTAAGTTCCAGGTGGTCTCCTTCATTTTCCAGATTCCACCCTCTTTTTTCCTGTTCCCCTCCTCTGTTTTCTTTCTTTTTTTAAAGAGAGTTTTTAAATTATCCAAGAATCTTTATCCCTTTGACACTTTATTTTCAGCTAGAAATAGCCTATTAATGTCGAAGTGGATTAGTATCAATTTCTTATTCGAATCTCTTCTTCTTAATGTTCCAAGTCAATTAAAACTGTCAATGTGAGAGGAAAAAAAGCTAATTCCCTTTCTCTTTCGCCGCTTAAAATCTTTTTTAGGAATAGTATTAGTCTTTAGAATTCAGGTTCCAGGTACCTTAAATAGATGTTCTCCATTCAACCCGGTCAGTCAAACTTTCTTCTTTAAACTTCCTCCTGCACAATCTTGTCTGGTCGGGTTCTTCTTTGAGGTGGCCATTTCTGGCCACCGCTGCAACTGCCTTTGGGAAAGGGAGTAATGGCCAGCCGAGGAGGAGAGATGCGGCTCTCTTCAACCCCGCTGATGGCTCCCCCTTCTTCGTAGAGGTCTACAAGGTGGCTTCAACACCAAATCCGAGCAGCTCGGGGCACTCCAGCGGCGAGCACGGATCAAAATTGCAGACAATCGCGATTTTGGTTCATCACCGAAGAAGCCCAAACCGGAAGTCCCCCAGGCCAATGTTTCTTAAATTGTAGCCCAAGGACCCCTGAGCGTCCCACAAGACATCTTAGAGATCTATGAAATCAAATTATTTGCCAGTGTTAGGAATAACAAGGTTACCTAACGTAGTTTGGGTAAAATAATATATATAAACTATGATTGTAAGTTTAAGTGTGTGTCACTTTAAACTGCAAAGCATGTAATTTTGGGTGCGGTGTGAAACCGCCATAAGAGGGAGCAATAGAACCTGCTGGATTGCTGACTATTGCTGGTTTGATGGATTGATGGTTTGCTAACTGCGTGTTCCCTACTGCTGAGTTGCTGAACGTCGAAGGAAGAAAGGAGGTTTGACTTCTTCATATCTCTACTGCAAGGAGATATATTACTGGACTGATATTTGTAAGTTTACTGACCTCTCTTTTTCGACACTGGACTTTGCAACTGAATGATATATGGACTGTTTTGACTATGCTATAACTATTATTGGAATAAACTATTTAACTAGCACAGTGTATCTGTTTTACTGAGTGTAAGCTACAAAAACGTTTATCTCACATATTTTGCCTGACTGCCGTGCAGATTCTGCTAGGGTATATCCCTAACAGCCAGGTATTAAAGATGCTAGCAAAAACTGAAAAAGACACACTTCTCATCATTATTTTTTAATTTGTTAAATAGTATCAAGAAATATAACCCATGCAAAGACAACTTCTTTTGGGGTCCTCCATCATTTTTAAAGTGGAAAGAAATCCTGTGAGGAAAAAGGTTAAGAAACGCTGATATAGGCTATAGTAACAGAGATTTTCTCTTTGTTGCCTTCTCCCCAGAGAATTAATGCAGGGACACTCTGGGTTTCTAATGTTTTCTTCATTTCCTAGGCTTAAAAACATGTTTTGCTAACTGATAACTGCACAGTTTTTCCATGGTTGTTTCCGTGGCTCTCAATATGTGCCACTTTGCTGAATTGATCCAAGCAGATAAGTGCATTTTGAATAGTCCAAATAGTTTTTAGAATTAGATCAAAATAAAGTAAAATTTTCTAGTGTGGTCTCCAAATGTAGAAAAGACCTGTTTTCTTCCTATTCAAATACTAATTAGGTCTGACCCTGCTTAGTTTTTCGAGAATCACTGTAATTAACAATAGGAATAGAAGAAATAATTATTATTGTCATTGCTTCTGACACTTATATATACATACAGGCATGTATTTCACATAAGCATTTATTTGGGGCAGTTTGGCTTTGGTTGGAATTTTAACTTTAGGTTAACAGCTTTAGAAATGTGGGTTTTTGTGTTTTTTATGTCTCTATCTTTTTCTCCACCCTTTTCCTATTGCTGAGGGGGCTTATCATAAATTCTGGATCACCTTGGCGTTTATAGTCATGTTAACTCTATGTTTGGTTTAAGCAATTAATTTTTGCTTTCTTTACTCCAATGAGACCATTTATTAAAGTTCAGTGGAAACACACACATTATTAAATAAGATGCTTTGTTTTCTGTAGGAACATCATCACAATTGCTGTTTTCTATGCTTTACCTGTGGTCCAGTTGGTGATCACATACCAAACGGTGAGTTCCTGTGCCTTCTGAGCACAGACTAAGTTTCCAGGTTAATATCTTTTTCTACTTTTTACCCCCAGCCCTATTGCTTTGCAAACTGTTTTTAAGTTCAGTTCCAATTATATACGTTTTGGCTTTTATAGCGATGCCATGTACTGCTGAGAGCAGGAATCTCACTCTTAGACAAACTACACTGAAAGGATATAACAAACAGCATTTTCAACATTTCACCCAGGCCTGCATGAGAATGCCTATTACCTCAAGAGCATTTTATTTTAGTCTGTTCATTTTAGTGATTAGTAAAACCTGTGTTTTATTTGACCTCTTACAGAAATGAAGTATCGAAATAAAATGAGTTGAAAGCTACAATATTATTGATAGTCAAATCTGCAATGCTCCTTTCTCCTTTATTAATCTGGGTTTAATGTAAAAGATACTCAACAAAGTTAAACAACTGTCATCAAATTTCTTGGTAACCAATTTTTGCTTGGTCCCTAACACTCAAAAAAATCCTAGCAGAAGGCCCTATTATGGAGAGTTTCTGCTTCTTATTTATTGTTACGGTGGTCACATCCAGCCATATGATTCTAGAAGAGGCTGATTATACCGTATCTGTGGTGGAATTTGATTTTGAGTTGAGGGGAGGAGGCTGAGTAGCCAGAGTCCCTTGTGAGGAGGAAGAGATTGAAGGGTGACCCTCTCTAAAACTTCACAATATTTATTTAGTGGTTGTACAGTAGATGCTTTAGTCTGGCAAGATCCCTATCTATAGGCAAACAACAATAAACATACTCTGATCATCTCATCATGTCATTTCTGGTTGTTTGCACCTAACCCAAGCCTTCCATATGATCTCCTTGCTTTGGCCACTGGAATTGGAAAATAACCACAAAAAGTGGTTATGCTTGGCTTCCTCCAACTCTGACTTCCAATTTCTCCCAGCAAATTATTTCTGTCTCTGTTTGCCTTACTTTTCAAGCTTTCTAATTAAAGTCCGAAGGAGACATAAAAGGAGGGAGGAGAGGGGAAAGAAACTATGCATCTCCTTGTCTTGATGGTAAGGACATGGAGTAGTGGAGAGCATTGTAGCTTCAAATGAATATTCCCTATATTTAGACAATAGGAAGAGAAATGAATGGAAGTAATTCCCCAATTAAGACCTATAATGCCTGTTACGTATTTATGTTTCTTCATGAAAAAATTGAATGCATGTGCATAGGAAATGGAAATGCATTGCTGTGGTGGAAAAACTAAGATGGCACAGAAATAACACTTGTCAACAAAGATTTTGCTTCCTGAACTCTTTGGAGTGTATCTTACAGATTTTTGGCTGCTAATTGTGAAAATAATCTGTAATTTAATCTATCACATACTGTTCTACAGAAATCTTCTGTTTTTACACAATGGCAATTTACACCCTTCAGTACCTGTTGGCTATGCTGCACACATGAAAGAAACATACCAAACCATGGAACTGTTGTTAAAGTACATCCAGTACACCAAATATAACTGGAATATCTGTGGGGATCTAAAAGTAGTGGCTCTGCTGCTTGGGATGAAGCTCAGATATACCAAATATTGCTTGGCTGTTGATTGTCTTAGCTGAGATGTGCAATAAATATAAGTAAAACGTTATGCCGAGTTGTTATTTTCCCCCCCCTCCCCTTTTTAGGTGGTGAATATAACTGGAAATCAGGACATCTGCTATTATAACTTCCTTTGTGCTCATCCACTGGGAGTCCTGAGGTGTGCATGAAGATCGTTCCTAATTTGTGGCTTGGGTTTTAATTTGAGTTTCTTGTTGTGTAATTGGGAAATGGGGGTGGACATTTTCTGTGGGGTAAGTGGTTTGCAATGAATATAATTTTTTGCATGAAGTTTAATGTTTATAGACTTGTAGAATATAAGGATTGGAATGCATCTCTAGTCCAACTTTCTGTTCACTCCTGAATCCATTACTATAGCAGTATTGATTGAAGACTAATAACATCATTTAATAAAAACAGAATAAAATCCTGTAAAAGAAATACTGACAAAACCAAAAGCCAAACAAAAGGAAGCTCTGACTTTACTATTTTTAACTTGAATTGAAGGAATTTGACACACACATATAGAGGCAAGTTACATGCACATTTAGTGGGTGGGGGCAAAATTTCCAGGTCTGATAGTAGTGACTTGGGTTTTAATTTGAGTTTTTTGTTGTATAATTGGGAAATGGGGTTGTGGCAAGTGTAGTCCTGGATTCCATTCCCCCAAGGCACCCCCAATAGTAATTTTGGGGGGAAATACTGTAAATTGGAACAACTATATACAACTATATTTCTTCCTCAGTTCTTGATTATGAAAACATTTCAGATGGCTGTACCTGGGTTTGCAGTCCTGGGGCCTGGGGTGTCAGATTATTTCATTTTCCTCACTTTTTCTCACAATGTTAGCCGAGCAAAGCCAGTGTTATCGCTGCTGGCTCCATGGCCTTGCAAAAGACAGCTTTGCACATGGGATTAGGATGACCCTTTAAATAAACAGAAAAAAATACTATTTTACATAGTTGCATTCCCTTACAATTACTTTATATGCTCAATTCCAGACACTATATGGCTTTTTTACTTTTCCGCAGTGCTTTCAACAACATCCTCAGTAACATTGGCCACATGCTGCTAGGTATCCTTTTCCTGTTGATTGTATTATGTAGAGACCTTCTTCATCGTCGCTCCTTGGAAATGAAAGATATCTGTGCAATGGTATAACCCCCTACTTTATTGCTGGGTAAAGGTGGCCTCTGTTTTTCTGGTTCTTACAATGCCAGTGAAGCCAAGGATTTTGCTAAAGGAAAGGATCCTTTCTGTTATTTTTCCTTCATAGAGCTATGCCTTTGGGCAGATTGCAATCTCATGGTTATTTTACAAGGACTTTGTTTTAATAACCAGGCAGTTGAATTAAAAAGACCTGGCATTTGTGTTGGGGAAGGTGTTTAATTTTCCTCTAGGAGCATCTTGCTCAAAATTATTTTCCCTAAGTTCTTTTCTCTCAGTGAGAGGAGATCTCTGAGTTTCACTTGCCTTCAAACTAGAAAGTTTCTGTGGGGAAAAGGCTGAGCATTGAGAGCAACTAGTGAGAAGTTTGAGGCGGCCAAGACTGAGTTGCAAAGAAACCCCAGGCAGGAAAGAGAGGCTGAATATGGGTGAGGAGGGGGTGACTTTAGAGAGGTGGGAGGGAGTGGGAGCATGGGCAAAATCAAGAAAATTTTTGCAAAAACACATCAAACAGTAAATTTATTTTAAGAAGGCAATTCACCTTTCATATTTTTCACATGGAAGTAAAAGACCACATCAAGTTGTACTGTTTGTATGGTAAAGTGTGGTCTACTTTCTTCAGTTAGTTATTTGATAATAATTTTAGTTGCTGTTAATTGGGTGTTAATTGTTTTATCTATTCATTTAATTACTTGTTCTGAATGAAAGAAATAAGTTATAAAATAGTGCTTGGTTCTTCCTGTCTTTTCTTACCTTTAAGGAATATGGGATCCCTAAGCATTTTGGCCTCTTCTATGCCATGGGTGTTGCTCTAATGATGGAAGGTGTCCTCAGTGCTTGCTACCACGTTTGTCCAAATTACACTAATTTCCAGTTTGGTAAGTGGAGGGGGCTTTTTCCAGTCAAGACCTGTCAAAGCCTTCTGGCCTTTTGAGCAGGTTGGGTTTAGTGGCATCTCAAGATTTTAGAAAAAGAAAAGCAAAAGAGTTAAGCAAACAGTTAAGGAATCAGTTTCTAACATTTCATCACTGTATTAGGTTTGCATGCTATTAGCCTAAAAAAACCCAGCTTTTTTTGTTTTCTTTCTGAAAACTAGAATTACAAGAGATGTTCAGTTGACATAAGAATGTTGAATAAGTGGCTTCGTTCACAGAACGGACTGTAACACAATCAAACCTTCTCCATTTTAGATGTATATATTGTGCAAACGCAGCTTATGTATGTAATTTTCTTTTGGAGGAGGGGAGGAGTGGGGTCTTGCTTTATACCGGTAATCCTCTACTTACAACCATAATGGAGTCTGGAATTCCATCATAAATCATGATGGTCATAAGTAAAGGCACCCATGTGTGACCAGACCTGATTTTACATTTTTTAATGGAGATCTTTAAGCAAGTATCTCAGTCATTAAGTAAATGTGTTCATAAGAGAACACTGTGGTTATTAAGTGAACCAGTAGATTCCTATGGATGCTTTTTGCCAGAAACCAAACAAAAAGGCCAAAAAACAGCAAACAACTGTTGTAAGTCATGAATGCTGCAACTGGCAATAAAGGTGAGCTGGTGATATGTGTATATGTTGTGTATGTACATGCATGTACATGCGTGCAACCATCAGAACTCCAGCAACAGGTCAGGTTTTGATGGGTCTGGTTGTTAAGCAAGGATTATCTGTATTTTAAAATTGCTGTCTGTCCTCTTGATTTTAACAAACTAATTGAGTAAGATGCATAAAATTGTGCTGTTACCAATTCTAAAAAACAATTATAAATATACAAAAACAAAATGTGTTTTTATACAGTAACCAGTTTTTTACTATAACTAAGAGGTCTTGAGGTTCCTCTGCTGGCTATTGGTTTGAAAAATTAATTCCTCATACCTTTAGTCACTAGTTCCTATGGTCTTTATGCTACAATCAAAAGGGCTTAGACGTCTTGCTCTGAAATTAACATTGCAATCTGGAGAGTGGGTTTTATTTTAGTATCTGGCCTCATTCTGGCAGTCTCAGCCCTCTACAACAACAGATCTTTTAATGATTAATATTATTAGTTAATAGTTGGTCTAGAGTGATAGTTATCTCTTTAATGTTAACAGAAGTAACCATGATAAAAATTGTTCTGTTTTCTCTTCTTTTGGCAGACACCTCTTTCATGTATATGATTGCAGGATTGTGTATGCTAAAACTATATCAGACTCGCCATCCTGACATCAACGCCAGTGCTTACTCAGCCTATGCATCCTTTGCAGTCGTTATTTGCCTTGCTGTACTTGGAGTGGTAGGATTGTGTCTTATGCAATGATGCTATTGTACATAGAGTCCAAGTAAGGCAGAATTTCGGGAGGGGGGGAACACCTCTGTGGACACTCATGAACTTAAACTTAACTTTCACTGATGCCAAACAGGAAAAAAAAGCAGCTATAGATGCTCAAGTAGAGGTACGATGGCTTAGCAGTTAAAGGCACTGAGCTTGTCAGCTGGAAACCTGACAGCCTGGGTTTGAGACCTGAACATTGCACAGTATGAACGCCTGTTACTTGCTCCAGCTCCTGCCACTTGGCAGTTCAAAAGCATGCAAATGCAAATTGATAAATAGGTACCATATTGGTGGGAAGGTAACATTATTCTTTGTGCCTCTATGTATATAGTCATGTTGGCCATGTGACCATGGACCAAGTGTTTTTGGACAACCCTGGCTCCTTTGGCTAAGAAACTGAGATGAGCACTGCCACCTAGAATCACATACAACTAGATAGAGAAAACCTTTACCTTTATAAGTGCTCAACCCCATCCATTTGAAAATTTGGGGTATCCTTGAAGGATATCCAGAAGCTGCAGCTGGTGGAGAAATAGTATAGAAATAGGAGAAATAGCATGAATAGTTCTAGATACCCCAAGGATTGTGCATGCTGTATGAATTTCATTGGGGGCCAATTTACTTCTAGATCCAATTTAAGGTGTTCATTATCACCCTTAAAGTCCTTCATGGCATGGGACCAGGTTACCTGAAAATCATCTTGTCCCAATGATGTATTGTAGAGCTTCCCATCTGGTCAGGCATAGAGATATGTTATGGATGCATCAGTTAAAAAATTCTGACTGAATGAAAGATAGAACTATGTATTAATAAATAACAATGTCATATGTTCTTGTAGAAAGTATTTTAAGTATCATAGCCTAGAGAGTGCTTTTCTCAGAATCCAGGATCAGTCCCTGATTTAATGAAATTATCCAATCAGTAAGTAAAAACAGTTCAAAAAAAGTAAAAATAATAAACTGTAATAATAAACTATTTACAGCTCAAATACAACTCATTGCCTTAATAAAATAATCCAAAGCTGCATCTACATTTAGTTTGCATTTAGATTTATGGAAATGCAATTTGAGTATGATTATATTAAAATATAAATTAGACAATTACCTATTCCCATCCCTATTCTACAGCTGCATTACTAAGTTACTGTTAGATTTTTCTGATTATGTTAATTATTGGTTTATTGGTATGTCTCGCCAATCCTTTCTAATCATCAAACTTAGTTTAAGTTGGAAAAAAGTTCACTATAAAGTTTTTAATATTTTTTTATTTGAAAGCCAGGATATATTACTCGTGTCCGATATTGGGATAACTATTTATTTATTCCTTCCAAGGTTTTTGGGAAAAATGTGTGGTTTTGGGTCCTTTTCTCCATCATCCATGTTGTGGCCTCTCTTGGTCTTAGCACCCAGATTTACTATATGGGTCGTTTTAAGATAGGTAAGTTTTACTTGGAAGTAAATCTAATTAAGATCCAATTATTTTAGGATTTTAGCCCAAACATTGTTGAATAGCAGACACAATAGTTTTATATTTTGGAGAATCTGCTGCATAAGCAATATACTAAGCAATGTATAAATTTTGTAAGAAATTAGAGATTTGCCAAACTGATTAATATAATCATCCATGGATATATGTTGGTGTGTGTGTGGGTGTATATTCTATGTAAAGTCAAATATAAGGTAATCAGTGAAGAAGCAAACCCTTGAAGTTTGAACTAAAATAAAATGAAAATGTGCCACTGTCAGGTAAACTTGGAAAATTAAAACATGAAAATTGAGGGTCAACCTACCTCTGGATGGGCTTATCCATGACTATATACAATATTTTTTGTTTTCTTTATTTAGTTAATTAAAAAATATTTTTTAAAAAGAAATTATCCTGAAGACTGCTGCTTGCATGAAAGAAAAATAGATTAGCTTTATTTAGTGTTACGAGACCCCAGTTACTTAAGTCTATCTACAAGTATAATGTGCTATCTTTCAATTGGCCGAGGTAGTAAATTGCTCAGTTCAGAATTAAAAGAAAAATATAGATGAACTGAGAGGAAGAAAGTAATAAAAACTTTGAGAATATCAGCCTAGTTAATAAGACTATGTTACATGTTATATAAGGACCTGCTAAGTAAAAAAAAAAAGGCTTCTTGGATTAAAAAAGGAGATAAAAGTGCAGAGTCTAGCTCTACATCCATTGTTCTGGGGGTTAGTACATTTATAGGCACAGAAAGCTGGTGCATGCATTTCCTTCACAATGGCTATCGCACCAGTTAATGATTCTGATTCTTCACAAAAGCTTTTAAACTGATCTCTTGACTATGACTTGGTGAGTATCTCAGCTGCTATCTCCCCTTAGGGTTAATACTTGTGTTCAACAAACCCATCCTGCAATGCATCTTGCACATGATGGTACTTGGTATCATTGTGCTTTGTATATGAAATCAAAATGAAATTTTTGTTTTTCTCAACTATAATTCAGCTTATCTATCTCAAAGTCCAATATGCATTTGGGTAACCAGGTTATTTTTTTGACATGCTGCAGATACACATACATATTGAGATAAAATGTTACAGAGGCAGATACATATTTTGTGATTGAGAGAACTATGAACTGCTTTTTGCTAATTCATCTTTCCACATAGTAAAACAAATTTTTGAGTTGATTTTTCTGTCCTTTATATCTCCATCTGAGCTGCTACTCTGGAATTATTGTCCTTAGGTAACATTAATTTTCAATCTGCAATTCTCCTTAGGTGTCTTTCTACTATCTTGATTCCATCTGATCTTTCTTTGTTGATGCATTTACCTTCCTGCATAGTATCCCTATTGCTGATGTAGGTCCATTATGAAGAGAAAGTGAGCCAAGTAAATAGTTGAAGTGCAGAGATCAGAGTCAGAAGTGAAGAAGGAAACAGATGAAAGCCTTGAGAATATCTGTCTACCCAGGACTGTCAAACTCCTGGCCCTTGGGCCAATGTGTCATGCGCTGGCCATGCCCATGTCCAGTTTAACAAAGGGGGGGAAAGTTCCGATATGTCATGTGATGTTGCCTTGATGACGTGAGTTTGACACCTCTGCCCTAACCAATAGAAAGCATTTACATAGAGACATGCAAAGCAAGTCTTTTTGATAGGAAAAGAAAAACAGAATTCCTAACTACCTCTACATCTACTACCTCTAATTATTAATAGGTTAATGCATTCAAATGCATTCAAACAGACAGGATATGAGAATGAGATTTACTCTTTCTTACTGTTTTTTCCTCCGATGGATTACATTTGTTTCTCAATCTTGGCAACTTTAAGATGCATGTATTTCAACTCCCAGGACTCCCCTGCCAGCCAGGTTGAGAAATAGAACTGCAGTAAGAATCCATGTGTTAAGCATCCAGATATCCATGATATCAATCACTCTGAGATATTTTTCTCCAATTGATTTATTTAGAAACAGATCTGGCATCTCAAAGGCAATTTCCCAAGTGAAATTATTTTTGTGCATTACACCAAATCCACCTTATCTCCTCCCTTCTCTCCTCCCACTTCTACACTTCATAAATCAAGAGAACCAATTAACTGCCACTGGAATTTCTTAATACGACCTACAGTATAACCTTGAACTTTTCAACTCTTCCGACTCTCTAAAAAAATGTGGCAGCTGAATTTTAAAGCTGACAGGCATCCCCCCTTGAAAACTCCTCCTCCTAAAAGAAAGGAAAGAAAAACCAGATACAAGGGTTAACACATTTTCCTTAACCCCCTCCCCCCCGAGGATCCTTCAGTTTGTGGGGAAAATCCTCGTGGAATTGGTTAACCAATTGATCAGCATGAACATCCCAACTCTTTACCCAACTAGCATCCGAGAGAGGGTATCCTTTCCATAAGACCAAATATTGCAATCGGCCATGGTATAATCTAGAATCTAGAATTTTTTGAATTTCATAATGTGTTTCCCCCTGTACCATTAACGGTTTAGGGGGAGCGATTGGTGGTGATCTTATCATTGATGTAGTAGCTGGTTTTAGTAAACTACAATGGAATACTGGATGAATTTTCCCCAATATTCAAGGAAGACTTAATTGGACAGTGACCAGATTGATTATCTTTAAAATTGGGAATGGACCCAGCTTCTTACTGGCAGTTTCAACCAAAGATACTTGATCAACAAATATACTTTGTCCCCTACTTTAAAAAGTGGTTGAAGGGATCTATGTTTATCCACCTGTTTTTTATAACTTTTTGCAGCTTCAGTCAAAGCTTTTTTTGTATCTTCCCATACTTACTTTAATGAGTTCATCCATTCTGTTAGGGACATGGATGAGGGAGGTTGTCTAGGTAACTCTGGCATTGGGACAAAATCCATTCCAGTGTTGATTTGGAATGGGGTCAATCCCATGCTGCTATGTACTGCCTTATTGTAAGCAACCTCTGCAAAAGGTAACAACTCAGCCCAATTTTCTTGTTGATAATTTACATAGCATCTAATGTATTCTTCAATCAATCCCCCTTGAGTTGAACCAATTGATTTCAGAAATTCCCTCCAAAATTTTGCGGTAAATTGTACTCCTCTGTCTGATATTATTCTATGAGGTACTCCATGTAGTCTATAGATACGTTTCATGAACAGCTTTGCAAGTTTTTTCACAGATGGAAGTCCTTTGCAGGCTGTAAAATGGGCCTGTTTAGAGAATAAGTCAATTGTAGTCCAAATGATCATATTCCCTTCACTCTTAGAAAATTCAACAATAAAGTCCATTGCGATTTCTTCCCAAGGTTGGGTTGGTTCAGCAACTTGTTGCAGGAGGCCAGGGGATTTTCCAGTTCTGTGTTTCATTGTGGCACAAATTGAGCAACTTTTTACATAGTCCTCAACATCAGGTTTCATTTTTGGCCACCAGAACTGTCTTCTCAGTAAATCTAGGGTTTTTAGGAATCTGAAGTGGCCTCCCAGTCAGGAGTCATGGCTACGCTTTAGTACCAGTAGTCTTAGGGTTGTGGGTACATAAAGCTTAGTCCCTTTCCAAGCTAGTCCATCATTCATTGTCAACTCGGTTTGATGGTCCAGGAACCAAGGGTCCGTCAATAGGGCTGTTTTCAATTCTGTAGTCAGCTTATTTTCCAGGTGTTTGGGGTTGCGGTTGGCTTGGGCTCGAGTGGTCACTTGGCCTGCCAATTGACCTTCTGAAATTAAGGCTTGTACTATTTCCTCTCGATGGCTTTCAAACTGAGGTTTTCTGGACAGAGCGTCCGCCAGTACGTTTTTCCCTCTGGGGATATATTTAACGTTAAAGTTGAATCACTTGAAATATTGGGCCCAGCGGACTTGTTTGGGTGATAATCTCCTAGGGGTCTTTAAAGCCTCGAGGTTCTTATGATCAGTCCATACTTCAAAGGCCTCTGGCGCTCCTTCTAGAAAATGCCTCCAAGTCAACAAAGCCCATCGTATGGCGAATGCTTCTTTCTCCCAGACCGCCCACCTTTGCTCTATGTCTGTCAGCTTTTGGGACACATAAGCGCAAGGCATCAATCGGCCTTGAGAGTCCTTTTGCAGCAAAACAGCTGCCACCACTACATTACTTGCATCTGTTTGGACAATAAAAGGCTTGGTCATGTCTGGATGATGGGCTCAGCTGTGAAGAGGCAGTTTAAGGCCTTGAAAGCTTTCTGACAGTCCATAGTCCAAGCCGGGGGTTGACTTGGCTTCAGTTTGGTGGGTGACGGGCCCATTTTTAATAGCTCTGTCAACGGGAGGGCAACTTCAGCAAAGGACGGAATGAATTGTCTATAGAAGTTGGCAAACCCCAAGAAACTTTGAAGTTGTTTTCGGGTTCTGGGGGGTTGCCAGTCCAGCTCTGCTTTCACATTTCTGGGGTCCATTTCAATCCCCGGGTTGGATATTCGGTAGCCTAAGTAGTCCAACGACTCTTTCACATATAATTTGGCGGCTAGAAGTTTTTCTAGAACTTGTCGGGCCAATTGAACATGGTTTCACTGAAGATAAGGATGTCATTCAGGTACACAAGGATCCCCCTCACCCATAAAGATGCAGGTGTAGCACCTCATTGATGAGCTGCATAAACACTGCAGGAGTCCCCTGAAGTCCGAAAGGCATGACTATGAATTGGAAGCTACCCAGTAGGCAGTTAAAAGCAGTTTTCCACTCATCTCCTTCTTTGATGCGGACCCGATAGTAAGCTTCTCTGAGATCTAGCTTGGTGAATATCTTGCCCTTCAACAGGTGGTTCAATAAGTCCTTCTTAAGGGGGAGGGGGTACATGTTTTTGACGCATATGGCGTTCATGCCTCTAAAGTCAACCCACAATCACAATCCATCTTTCTTCTCCTTGAACAACACAGGGGCAGCTAGTCTTGATTTGGCAGGCTCAATAAAACCTCGTTCCAAATTGCTGTCAATGTATTTCCTTAATTCAGTCATTTCAGCAGGCGCCATGGAATACATCTTTGGTTTTGGTAATTTCGCCCTGGGTTCTAATTCTATGGCACAATCAGTGGCTCGATGAGGAGGTAAGACATTACACTCTTCTTCACTGAATGCTTCATCCAAGTCTTTATATTGGTCGTGGACCTGGGGATTATCTGGGAGAAGGTGGGAAACCATGGATGCTCGCTCAGGCTCTGGGTTCAAGCTGACCAGTGGCTTTGTAGTGAGTGAAAGAAGGGGCAATTGGCCTGGTCCAATGAGGATTTTTCTGAATCCATCCTCCCATTTGATCATTGGGGCCCATTTGGCTAGCCAAGCAAGTCCCAGTATGATTGATTCTGACATCTTGAGGGCCATTATGAAGCCTATGAGTTCGCGATGGAGCCCTAATTCCATCTTGATCAATTCAGTCATCTGAGTGCCCCCCCCCCAATTAAGTTTCCATCCACTTGCTCAAATCTGATTGGGCATTTTAGCGAGTTAGTTTTTATGCCCAAATGTTCAACGATGGGGAGTCCGATAAGACATCTAGAACACTCAGTACCAATGACAGCTTCTAAATCCCCGACCTCCCCCGTGTTTGGTACCACTAACTTGACCTTGACTGTAAAAGGTATGATGGGATCACTCACCATTGGGTCATCTTCGCAGGTCGGGTCCTTGGGGATGTGGTGGTCTGGTCCATTGCTCCCGTCTGCACAGAGGGGGCTTTCCCAGCTGTGTTTGGCAAACCCGCCCCTGGCCAGAGGTCTTTCTTGATTCTTCCGACCTCTAACAGATGGATTAGACTTCAACTGTGGAGCTTGTGGTAGAGGAGCAGGGGCCAGATAGTCTGCTACTCTATGGCCGGCTTGGCCACATCGGTAACATTTCAGCACCCTGGTAGGTTTGGAACGAGCAGGTTCAGCTGATCCACTTGGTGGTCTCCTAGTCACAATTCTTTTAGGCAGGGCTGCTGGAAGGGGTTTCCCGTGTGGGTTGATGCTGCGATCTAAGCTGAGGGATGCGACAGCATGATTGTAAGGTCTCTGGGATTCCCCTATTTTCACAGGCCTTCTTTTCTTCTGGATCAATGGTGTTTTTAAAATAGTGTAAAGTCATTCTTTCAGGCCAATCCATGAGGTGGCTTGCAACCCTTCTAAAGTCCCAAATGAATTCTGGCAAGGCTTGCTTGCCTTGCCTCATTTCCATTAACTTTTCTTCATTCTCTGCTACCTTGTCTGGATTTTCAAATCTGAGTCTTAATAATTGAATAAATGCATTTACATCACGTAATTCAGGGGCTTGTTCATTGTGTAGTTGGGCCACCCAGTTTGAAGCACCCCCTTCATTCATCCTGTTTGTTATGGCCGTAATCAAATCGCACTCTGTGGTGTATTGATCTCCAAATTGTTCTATATGGGATCAGATTTGAGTGAAGAAGTAATTGAAATGTTCATGGCGGCCATCGAATATGGTCTTAAAAGGTATTTGGTCCAGCCTAGGTCGTGGTTGCGGAGGTGGCACAGGCCAGGTCCTTGCAGGTTGTACTGGAATGGAAAGAACTGGCCTGGTGGCGTATGTAGGCTGGGTAGGCCCCCTGTATCCTGGCTGGGTGGTGCCTCTCTGGAATAGGGGTCTCTATGGCCTCGCTGCCGGTTGGGGCTGCATTTGTGGTGGCCAGGAGGAAGATGGGTGTGGCCTGTTTCCCTGGTCAGGTGGAGGGGAAGTGGTTGCTGTCTTTTGTCTGGGTAATCCTCCTTCAGACCAAGGCTGGGTTAGTGCTGGCTGCCATTGGCATTGAATTCACCCCTGGCCTGGATAAAATCCCCACCCTGGATACTCTCTGCAGGGGGCAAAATTCCCTCTGGAAAATGAGGGGATTGCCTCGGAGGCTGCCACATACCCTCTGTCAGATGATGTGTCTTTCTGGCTTCCTCCCACTAGCATCTGTATCGTCTCCTCCCTCCAATCAGACAGAATAGCAATCTGCCTGGGGCTCGAGAAAGATTTCTCTTCAACCGGCTGGGTTACCTCTGGGTTATAACAACTTCTTGAGTTGAAACACTTCGGTATAGCTCCCAAACCTCTTTCTTCTAATGTCATTCTGAAAGCATCCATCATCTCATCCAAACAAAGGCTTGCAGATTCAATTAATGTTCCAGAGGGAGGGCCCCCATACTCTCCCCCTTGCAGCTCTCCAACTTCGGCTGATTGTTGATAATTTTCCATCTCAGGAAAAAGAACTCGGAGGTATCAGCCAAGCCCCTTCAAAAATTAAAAGAATGACTTGGGAAATAAATGTAAGGCATCCAGAAAGTATCTATGATGTCAATCACTCTGAGACATTTCTCTCCAATTGATTTATTTAGAAACAGATCTGGCATCTCAAAGGCAATTTCCCAAGTGAAATTACTTTCACGCTTTACACCAAATCCACCTTCTCTCCTCCCACTTCTACACTTCATAAATCACAAAACCCAATTAACTGCCACTGGAATTTCTTAATACGACGTACAGAATCATCTTGAACTTTTCAACTCCTCCAACACTCTAAAAAATGTGTCAGCTGAATTTTAAAGCTGACACCATGTTGACTTTTTATGCATTACCTAATACTGACCCATTGCACATGTATTTATTTGTGTTGTGTTACTGAAAGCAACAGTTAGTTTTCAGCAGGTAGTGCTTTCCACAGGAAGAATAGAGCTGCTAATTGTGTATGTAGGTACATTTTGGTTGGCAAGTGTTTGAGGACACCTCCTAGCTGCCTTATACTCCCCTTGCTGTGTCAATATATTCTTCTCACAAGCATTTCCCCCTTCTTTTCTTTTCTGCTTCACTTGGAGCCAGATGTCTCTGATCCAGGTAACTAGCATTTGGTGTTAAACCTTCCCCTTTTGGACTAAGCAAAAAAGGATTTTGGCAGCAAGACTAAGAAGCATGCTAATTTTTCTAGATTTTTATGGATATAAAAAATAACTTGAATCCCCTTAGTCTTCTGAATAGAAATTGTAAAACAAACCAGATGGCATAATTACTGTATTATTTCTCAAGAATGCTGGTTGCTGGAGATGGCATAAATGAGCACCTTTCAGCAAACTTACTGGCAGATATGTTTTTTATAAAATGCTTTCATAGGGCCTGATTTTAAAAAGCAACCTACAAAAAAAATGGTAGGGAAGCTGAGTCGTATAGAATGATGGTATCTCTAGTTAAACATTGAAAAGACCTAAGAAAATAGGAGCATGGCATAGTGAAGACAGCATAGCTGACACAAGCATCTATTCTGAGACTTGGATAATGGTACCAACAATTCTTAGAAGAAAAGATAGCCCTTCAGATGCACATGCTCTTAGTTGCATGAAACTTTTAAGTACAGTATTAAAGCAAGTATCTATTTGCATTCAAAAATGTATTGGGAATTATTGAAACATTTCCATTCACCCTGTCTTGGTCAAGATTTGACCAACCTCTTGATAAAACTGTAGTTTTCCACTGTGTGGATTGTGACGCAGTGGCTCAGTGGCTAAGATGCTGAGCTTTTTGATCATAAAGTTTGGCAGTTTAGCGGTTTGAATCCCTAGCACCATGTAATGGAGTGAGCTCCCATTACTTGTCCCAGCTTCTGCCAACCTAGCAGTTCGAAAGCATATAAAAATGCAAGTAGAAAAATAGGGAGCACCTTTGGTGGGAAGGCAATGGTGTTCCGTGCGCCTTCAGCATTTAGTCATGCCGGCCACATGACCCCAGAGATGTCTTTGGACAGCGCTGGCTCTTCAGCTTTGTAACGGAGATGAGCACCGCCCTCTAGAGCCGGAAATGATTAGCACGTATGTGCGAGGGGAACCTTTACTTTTATCTTATATCCGGATATTCCATGTTATCTATGTTCCGAAAGAATCAACATTTATGTATCAGCCAGAGCTGGTAGAAAGCAGTTCATGTCTCAGAATGTATCTTTAAGAGATAAGTCCCATTCAAATTATTGCTCTACTATAGTAGAAATGAGCAATTTACAGGAATCAGTAGAATTAACTTTCTTTTTCTATTTTTTCAGCCTCAGGGTAAAAGACCAGATTGACAGTATGCTAATTGTAGATGGGACTGAAATGTTAGTTAGAAGGACCTATTTCTAAATTTAGATGATTTAGGGGTCAAATGAGTAGATAAATTCTTACGAAGGTTTGCCATGTAGCAAACAAATTGGGAAAAGCTATATTCCTTGAAAGTTAGTATTTTTGCTGCTAATTTTTGGCTACATATTCTGGAAGTGCTCTGGAAGATGTAAAAGGAATGTTAGGCCTGTAGCCTGTGATTACCAGTCCATAATTGAGATTACAATCATCTCCTACAAAAATCCATTCTTAATTATCTCAAAATTTCCTAGCTTTCAGCTGCCTAGTAATCGTATAAAATTAGTGTGAAAGTAACTAGTCATCAAGGATCCTTTGTCCTTTTCTGAAAATCAAACATTTTCCAATAGATTCCAGTCTACTTTGTGCCAGCTCTTGCTTCTCGGTCCTGGGTTATATATTTGCTTCAACATGATCTCAGTCAAATGCTGATTGCCATATTTTAATTCCCTTTGTTGTTTTCTGCCATAGACCTTGGGATTTTTCGACGCATAGCTATAGTATTGTACACCGATTATATACAACAATGCAGCCGACCCATGTACATGGTAAGTACTTTTTTCAGTTCCTTGAAGTTATCTCTGATGGATTATGAAAATGCTTTTCTTTCTCGTTTGAAAACATATAGATTAGTTTAAATGAACACAATGGTCTTATTTGCCACTGTAATAGTAATGTACAGTATTTTCAGAAATTACTTTGACTTCCACTTGGAATTCTTTTTCTTGCTCTCGTATGAGGATGTGCCTGCTCAGAACCACCATCTGGAACTTTCCTAGTGGGAGGCCCACTCTCTCCCCTGTGCAGATAGTCCTCAAAATCTGACCATTCATTCAGTGAAGTTCAGCTGCTGAACAATGGTACTTATACCCAGTCCCTGAAGTTATGATCATTGCAGTACCACCCCCACAGTCATATGATATATGAGTGCATGTTAAAAAGATACATCATCCTGTTCTCCTTGAATAGTTATTATGTAATTAAGTTACCAAATGGTAGATTTTGGTTTAACATAAGAATATATGTATCCTAATAGAGATAATAAGTTCCCCTTAAATGTTTTGAAGCAAAGACTGGGCAAGCATTTCTCAGATATCTTTTAATCTGGATTCAGGATTGGAAACAATGGACTAGAGCACTCCTTATGATTTTTTTATAAGTTTTTGTAACTTAATTTCTGCATTCAGATGACAAAACTACTATGGATGATGGAGGGTGATCTGTGTGTGCATGGTATACATGGAATGCGAGTTGAAATTTCTAATTGATCCAACATGCTCTAAAAGCTTATAATGATGCTAAAGCAAATGCAAATGTATATCAGATATGCAACTTCACATCATAAACTTTAAGTATTAACATTAGCATTAGATCCTCCCATGCTGCACAGTATTGATAGTATAAATCCTTAAAGATAGTAATGAAGACTGTCAGTAAACCATAAATGTAGGATCTTCCAGAGAGATTCTCGGCAGAGATTGTCAAATGCTTTCTTAAAATCAATAAAGTTGATGGCCAGTGGGTTGCCGATATTCAGTGCACAGTTCTATATTTCATAAGGTGAAGATTTGTTCACAGCAGGACCTTCCACACCGAAATCCAGCTTGTTCTTCTCTCAGACATTGGTATATGGCACTTTGCAGCTGCCTAAGGGAACTATGTGAAAAATCTTTTCAGGCACTGAGAGGAATGAAATGCCAGTTGATGCACTCTTATCCTTGATCAGAACATTGGAGCTATTCCTTATTCCAGTCTGTTCAGTAGAAATGTAATAAAGAGTTTTGTTGCTTCTTGTGCCTCAGTGCCTTTCCAGCCATTCTTTCTTGTCTTCACAGCAATTTCTCTTCACCATTTGGTTGAGCTCTATACATTCCCAGTTTGATTTTTTTTTAAATTTAATCCACATAATTTTAAGTATGCTGTTAATTATTTCCTGTTGTAAGCATTGGGATAAAACAGAAAAATGTTGCTATGATTTGATTTCAATTGTTCATTTTTGGTTATTCTTTCTTTTCTCTAGGACAGAATGATTTTGCTTGTTGTTGGGAATCTGGTTAATTGGTCTTTGTAAGTAGCAAATGTATGTTTGTAGATTTATTTTGGACAATCAAGAGATACAAGTGTATGTTAGAGAAGCTCTGTCTCTGAAATAGTTCTGTCTACTATTTTTAAAACATTTTTTCAAGTTGACAAATTATCTGATATTTAACAATTTCTTCCCATTCCTTGTTTCCCACCCTGGAAATTCTAGAATTCTTAATGTGATTATTGCAGCATAGGAACCAGACTTCATTAGGGAATTAACTTGGTAACTATTTAGAACACATAGTTCCTTCTAAAGGAATTTCTAGTTCCTTCCTTTCCCCATTCCCCTTATAGTTCAGCCTTAAGTTTGATTTAGATTTCTGTGTCACTGCACATGCAGGGAATGTATGTGTCTGTTGTTCGGAGACAGTGACATTGTTATTGCATTTATATTAATATATGAATATTAATATCCTGGCTAAGGGACATTCAAACAACAATCTGTTTTGCCTTTGCCTGCCTCCCAGCAGGAAATTAGTTCAACCAATCAGTATGTAGAGCACACACTTCCCTGCAACACACATAGTTGAGATTTGCAATCTACAACCTACACTTACCCATCAGCCCCTTCATAGCGTATGTGTTGACAACTATGCACGATTGTGGGCAAGTCCTAATCAAGCCTAAAGGTGTTGCCAACCCCAACAGGGACTCAGGAACAGCCTCTGCATGAATAAGTCTAGTGACTCTGACTTAAGCTTGATTTAGACTTGTTTCTACAGTGCCTGGGAGTCATGGTCAAAATCGTTTGATTTCTGGAGCCATTTTTAATATATATTTATTATGTTTTATCAATGGGAATAACATACAAATCAGAAAAAATACATCCAACAGTAATAGCAACAAAAAAATTTGTCCAAAAAAGGGGAATGTTTTTTAAAAAATGACTCAAACAAACAAACAAAAAGCACTTTGGCTGGATGTTGGAAAAAAAAATTAAAAAAATACCTGATAAATTCTCCCCTTACATAATGGGTCTGCATAATGAGGGCAAGGTGAAACTTATGAAAGTATAAACTTTCTCGTCCTTATTTAACAAGAAAAATATATAAACAAATATTTCAGATGAGGAGGGGTCTAGGTAATAATTGATATATATATATCAATTATATGAAAGAAAAATGTCAACATGTTCGCCCAAATATTACACTAGTCTTCAAATTCCTTTGTTAACCATCTGTTATTATGTTTAACATGAAGAAAGTCCACAAATGGCTTCCAGTCTCTTATAAGGCTGCCTAGTCCATTATCTCTAAGCAAGGCAGTTAATTTTGCCATCTCTGCTAATTCGGTCAATTTTAAAATTCATTCTTCAACAATCGGCATCTTCTTTCCTTTCCAGTGCTTAGCAAGTACAATCCTTGCAATGGTCACCATGTAAAGAAATACAGTCCCAAATTGTTTTTTGATTGATATATCCATTATACCTAAATAAAAGTTTCAGGTTTTATTAATATTTGTATCTTGAGTATTTTCTGCATTATAATGAAATCATTATAGATCAAGATGTTTTACAACTATAATTAAAATAATTCATTAAAACATAGTTATATTTTTTTGACCAGAAAATCATAATTGTTCTAAACAAATTAATCTGGATCAGTTTTGCATGCAACCGTCTTGGATTACATTGCCTTTATTTTTCTCTCTTAGTGCAATTTTTGGACTAGTATATCGGCCAAGGGATTTTGCTTCTTACATGCTGGGCATTTTTATCTGCAATCTTTTGTTATATCTTGCCTTTTATGTCATCATGAAGGTCAGTGGTTCTTATTACTTGTTAGTTAATGTCAGTTATATTGCCAAACTTAGACTGCTTTGAAGCGGGGAGTAGATCATTGTATGGTAGAATATGTTTTGTTCAGTGCTCAGCTTTCAGATCTGCCCTTCAAGAGTTGACTACAGGTTTTTAAGCCTTTGGATAAGAGACCTCAGAGAATATTATTAATTTATGATGAAGTTATTCTTCAGAGACAGAGATTACATATTTTGAATAATCAGTGTACATATGATTTATATAAACTTGGAAAAGCACAAATCAACTATTATATTAAGTTAAATACAGGTATTAACTACATTCTAAAAACCTCAAACTTAAAGAGGAAAACACAATTTATCAAAGTTTACAATTATGGTCAGGCTCCTTATATGGAAATACCATATGAAAAGAAGGAAGGGGAAGGCCCCATACTTGCAGTCAAAGATGAGATTAGCCCCCTCCCAGGAATGAACTGCTGTCATTTTAGGATACCTGCACATTTTAGATTTCTAAGCAATGCTAAGAACATGGTAATATGGAACAAATTCAGGCAGGTTTCTCTTCCTTTCAACCAGGGCTGGAGTTAGACTGGCTTGAAAAGAAAGCTAGACTGGCTTGACGTGAAAATGCTAGCTTTTTGCTAAAAAAAATTAGCCCATCTCATAGGAAATGCTCATTCAAATATTATACTTTTTGTCTTTCCAGCTACGCAGTTCAGAGAAGTTATTGCCTTTCCCTCTCTTTTGTATTGTGGCCACAGCTGTAGTTTGGGCTGCAGCTCTTTATTTCTTTTTCCAGAACCCCAGTAGCTGGGAGGTAGGTTCCTTCCTTTCTATTTGCTTCTGTTCCACTTCAGGAGTATTTGAAATTATCATAGATTACCAGAAAGAAAGGAGCCAAAGAAGCATTAGAGAATATATGGACAAAATTTCAGAATCAAAATTGTTTTGTTTTAAAACTCAGCTTTAGCTTCCTTCACTGTGACCTAATTTCTTGTGCCAAGATCTATAGAATATTAATATAAAACTAGTGTGATCCTTTAACTTACTGTTGAATCTAAGTCATCTAGAAACATATTCCATTTTTCTCCTTCTCTTTTTTATAAATACATTTCAAAAATTTATAAAGAACACATCTCTTGAAACCATTCTTTAACACAAAGAATATAAATTTCTACCTATATAGGGACCATTCTATTTTCCTGAAAGGTTTGGTAAAGCCAGAGCACAGCATTAAAAAAGCAAAACCGTATTTTTGGTGTGCAATTCAGTTTCGCCAATTACCTATAAAAACCTTTTTATTAATGCTGATGAAGAAAATTATTTGACATGTTGCTTTTGAAAATCATGGGCATTATATAGTTGGTACTATCATTTTAATTATATTTGATATTTATTTTATTACATAGCTACTTACATTAAATGCCCTCTGAAATTCTCAGAGCAGCTTACATAGGAAGCCTTAATAGATTCATTCATCAGTTTTGTCCTTTTCACCACTCATTCCTCCTTCAATTGGAGTAGTGAGTTTGCTTACTGTGCTTTTCATAGGTAGAGAAGATCATTGGATCACTGAGATATAAGGCTAGATATAAGGTTACATTTTTGGTTGGGAAACATCTAAAATTCACTGGTTTTATCATTTCCTCCAGGAAACTCCAGCACAGTCTCGTGAAAAAAACCGACCATGTATCCTTCTGGGATTCTTTGATGACCATGATATCTGGCACTTCCTCTCAGCTGCTGCCTTGTTCTTTTCATTCTTGGTGAGATTTTTCTTAATAACAAAATAATGTTCTAAAGCAGTGGTTCCCAAACATTTTCAGTCCACCGCCCACTTGGTGCTACAAATTCATCCTCAGTGCCCCCCACCCAGGGGTGGGATTCAAATTTATGTGGGTGTGGCCTAATTTTGGGGTGTAGCTTGCTGGTCACGTGACTGGGTGGGCGCAGCTTGCTGATCACGTGACTGGGTGGGTGTGGCTTGCTGATCACATGACTGGGTGGGCGTGGCTTGCTGGTCACGTGACTGGCTGGCGTAGCTTGCTGGCTGGGGATGGCTTGCTGGTCACATGACGGGGTAGGTGTGATTTGGTGGTCATGTGACTGGGTGGGCATGGCCAGGTGACTGGCAATCCAAATATAAGTGGCCGGTTGTTTAGCAAGTGTTCTAATTTATGACTGGCCTCCCCAGAGATACGTGACCCATTTTTGGAGTTTTGACAGCCATGCACACATACACGTGACACACTCCCTTCTAATCCTGCTGGAGCAGGTCATTGCACTAGAATCGGCAAAGCAGCTCTGATTAGATTCTAGCAGTGAATAAAATCTAATCAGAGATGCTTTGCCAATTCTTGTTGATTTGTTTTATTTGTATCTCATTATTTTATGTTGCTGAATTGTATTGACATGTGTGTCCCTTCTTGTGCACAACCCAGAAGCTTTTGTGATTCCTTGCAGCAAAAATTACCAACCTCTGGCTTTGCTCTACTTTTCAAACATGCCGACACTGCCGTGTCCCCACAAGACCACCCCATTGAATCCACTGCATTGGAGGGACCTACCCAAGCAAGTCAAGTCAATGGGGTGAGCCTGAGAGAGGGAAAGAGAGAGAAAGAAAAGAAAGAGAGAGAGAGAGAAGAAAAGAAAGAGAAAAGGGAAAGAAAGAAAAAGGGACAAAGAAAGGGGTGGTGGTGGAAGGAAGGAACAGAAAGAAAAAGAAATAAAGAAGGATGGAGGGAGGGAGAAGAAAGATAATGAGATATCTATTCTAGTCCAATCACTTTCTCCAGCAGGGTTACAAGGGAGTGTGTGTGTGTGTGTGTGTGTGTGTGTGTGTGTGTTCTTGTAATTTACCAGTACATTTTGCTTTTGCCTTCTTCAGGATTGGCACTGTAATACATTAGGGAAAAGTAATTTTTAGGGTGGAGATCTGGTCCAATGGATCCTGTTTAAAGCCTCAACAAAATGTGAGAGTTTCCTGATAGTCTTGACCATGTTTTGTCCACAAAACTTTTAATAGAAGCCAAAGATGTTTCAATGTGGAAAAGTGCCTCAGTCTAAACTCATTTCAATCAGATGCATCAGGTCTGTCTGTCTCTCTCTCTCTCTCTCCCCCCACCTCCCTCCCTCCCAGACTGGCTTTGCTCTACTTTCCCAATATGCCTGCGGGGCTCGTGCTTCGAACATGGATAGATGGATGGATAGAGAGAGACAGACAGACAGACAGAGACAGGTAGGTAGATAGATTGGTAGATAGGTAGATAGGCAGGCAGACCTTTTGGATGGATGGATGGATAGGTAGGTAGGTAAGTAGATTGGTAGGTAGGTAGCTAGATCCATGTTGGCCATGTTGGGCAGGTAGGCAGGCAGGCAGGCAAACAGGCAGACATTTTGGATGGATGTATGGATAGATAGATAGATAGATGATTGATAGATAGATAGATAGATAGATAGATAGATAGATAGATAGACAGACAGACAGACAGATAGAGATAGATAGATAGATAGATAGATAGATAGATAGATAGATAGATAGATAGATCTATATTGGTAGATAGATAGATAGGTAGGTAGGTAGACAGAAAGGCAGGCAGACAGGCAGACCGTTTGGATGGATGGATGGACAGACAGAAATAATGCGACAGCAGTGGCACTTTGGGAAGTAGAGCAAAGCTAGAGTGGGAATTGAAGTTAATTTTAGAAGCCAGAGGCTGCTTCTGATGGTTTGAAAAGATCCCATTTCTCTAGACACCACTTCTCACTCCTATTTAGCCAGCTGGATTTTTGTTGTTGCTGTTATTATTCTTGGCTTGGATAAATATCCTTGAAAGGGACACTTGCAGAACTTGTTTGGGCTGCATTTAAAGGTTTATGATTTAAACAACTTCCACATAAGAAAATGTTAACACAATATAAATAATTTTCCGCTTGTCACCAATTGGACCAGATTGTATCTCAGATTTTTTACAGAACTGAAGTAACATGGGTGTCCAGGGAAAAGACAAATTATTATTGAACTCATCACATTAATTGCTATGACTTACATCTTGCATAAGACATCAGAATGCAAGTACTATAATCTTATTTATTTATATATTAAATTTGGGGACCACCCATCTCCCTCACAGAGCACTTCTGGGCAGTGTACAATACAAAACATAAAAGTTATTATGGTATTTGCATTGTATTACTACATGATTCTTGGCCCTATCGGTTTGCTGTAGTGACATCTTACAATATGGTATTTGCATCACCAAATCCTAAATATTATGTGCAGTGGGAAAAGCAGCTATTATTCAGATTTCTAGGAATAACATGTCAGAACTATCCTGACTATAAAACTGGTAAGACATTTCTGCTTATTCTTTCATTTTGTACCAAGAAAAAATAAATCTCTTGACATGCGTGTGATACTTTCTTGCTCTAGGGCTTGTTGACCCTGGATGATGACTTGGATACTGTGCCACGGAACAAGATTCCTGTCTTTTGAGCTACAGGATAAGAACAGTATTTGATGCTTCACAGTAAAATTTGCTATGTGGAGCAGTCAGAACAGAGCACCAAGTACGCATTGGAAAGCTTATTTGAAACAATTCCCATATAGAAAACACTGCAAAATCATGTCCTCAACATCAGCTGGATCAGATCTATAGTATAATAATACATTATATTGAAACTAATCAAGCTGGGGTGTTCATAGGCTGAGGCCATTCTTCACTTTCTTATAATGGATAAGTTTTATTCCCAGCATTGTAGTTTCTCAAGTTTGTAATTTACCAAATGTACATGGAATGATTGCCCTTTTGGCCACAGTGGTATTCAAATGCTTTGAAACTCAATGAATTTGGTACTCAATGGATTTTTACACAATTTTTTTATCCCAATATTCATGTTTGTTTGGTACTCGATGCACAAGCTAGAACTTGTTGGGGTCAGTTGCCTTGTGACTCACTATATTATTCCTCATGGGAGAAATTTGTTTGGCACCCATTGTGTTTGGTACTCATCATGCCTCCCGGAACCAATTAATGATGAGTATGAAGGTTCCACTGTACTTATGTTCTGTTGCTTGATTAGTCAGAATTACTTTATGCAATACTGAAATATTGTGGAGATCCTTATGTAAACATTTTGCAACTGTTGCATTTACTACATAAAATTATAGTAACTCATTCTTTTTGTACCAGAAGACACATTGGAGACACCATCCCTTTTCTTCCTATAGATCTTTAGCCAATGTGAATAGTGCAACCTGCCTCATTTTCAGGGGGAGGATAGTATCTTGGAATATACTTTGTAGAAAACAGACTTTCTCTGCTCAGCTGGAAGATGCTTTTCCTCTCCATGAGACTGTCATATGCATTGTATTATTTCTTTAAACTTATGTTTGGTTCTCCGACAGGTAATCCAGATGCAGTATTACAATGCTACTTACTCTTTCTAGTCATCTATCACTATTGCTAGTAGTGAATTATTTTCTGATAATCTACAGGCTCTTATTTGCTGTTCATTTAAGCTCGTGCAAAATAACTTATGTGGGTAAGACAGAAAAGATCCAATTGTCTGGGTAAGACAGAAAAAATCCAATTGTCTACCTTATTCCTTAATCCCAGAATTATATTCAGAGGATGCTGTATAGATGTTTGTGCCACGCTTTGCTAAATTTAAATTAAAGCATGTCTCAGTATTATCAACAAGAACTACTTAAAGATGTTTATAAACCTTTAAGTATATTTGGACGTTTTCTTAATGATTGTTTGGCAGCTAATGACAGCCCAATTGTCTTATCAATTAACTTCGGTTTAAAAAAAATGTTAAACAGTAGAATTCTGCATCTGCTTTTCTCTAGGGTAAACCTGCTGTATATTTAAAGGAAATCTAAGAACAAAGGAGACTTTTTTTTCCCAACCCCAGGTCTTTAATGCATTCCTGGGTGGTGTTTTGCATCAGATTCCAAAAGGGTGCGAGAGTGTGCAGAAAGAAACCATAACTTTTCCAATGCATGCTTTGAGTGTTTTTCAAACTTGACAACTTTAAAATGCCTAAACTTCAACTCCCAGAATTCCCAGTTAGCATCTTTGTTTTAATAGCCGGAGAGTCAATAGCTGACCAGCTGTTGTAAGGTTGCTGTAAATGCTGATGCAATGTGAATGAGCCAGCAGGGTATTGCTGCTTTTAAGACTGAAGTTGGGTCAGCAGAGTTATTGCCACTTTAAGAAGCTGTCTATAGAGACTTCCGGTTTGAAGGGCTTCGGCAACAGACAGAAATCCGCGATCGTGCGCGGTTTCTGTCTGGCCTTGCCACTGGAGCGCCCCGAGCTGGCTGGTTTCAGGGCTAAGCCACCCTGTAGAGGTGGTGAAGAGGGGGGAGACCACCAGCAGGGTTGAGGAGAGCCACATCTCTCCTCCTCAGCTGGCCATTACTCCCTTTCCCGAAGGCGGTTGCAGCAGTGGTCAGAAATGGCCACAACAAAGAAGAACTCGACCAGAAAAGAATGTGCAGGAGGAAGATAGAAGTGAAAGTTTTGGCTGACCGGGTTAAATTGTAAAAGCAACTACCAAGGTACCCTGGAATTTAAACTTACAAAAAATAACATCGCTCCCAAAGAAGAGTTGGAAGCAGCAAAGGAAAGTGAAAAGGGAAAGGTTTGCCTTTTTTTCCCTTCTCTCTCCTTCCCTATACTGACAACTAAGAGACTTAAATAAGAAATCGGAAAAATCCGCTTTGACATCAATAGGTAATTAAGCTGAAAATAAAACAAAATGCCAAAGGGATAATAAAGATTTCTGGACATTAAAATTTTTCTTTTTCATAAGCAGGAAGGGAGAGAAAAAGAATAAGGGCAGGATCTGGAAGAGGGAGGAGACTGCCTGGAATTAAAAAGAATCTGAAGTAAAACTTCAACAAGACTTCTAAAAGATACATTTTAACTGAAACTTTGCAACTAAATAGTAACCCCAGGAAGAGAAAGTGAAAAAAAGAGCAAAAAAAAACCCAGCTTGCGTGTATTTGGATTATTTGGTGATCTTTGGATTTTTGGTTATTATATTTGAATGACTAAAATCAATTGGGTGGTTGTTTAAAAATTTATACAATGGCACCACTTCTAGATGAATTGAAAATGGAACTTAAAAAGTACAAAGAAGATGCACAAGCTTCGTCTTTCAATTCTTAGAAATGGAGATTTGGAACTAAGAGAAACAACAAGAAAAGACTGCAAAACAAGAAGACTGGGACAAAGAAGAAGCCATCTTTAATGAACAAGTAATTCTATGTGGGGAAGAAAAAGGAAAGGGGGAAAAGAGAATGGAGAATTTAAGACTTAAAAAAAAACCAAAGAAAAGAAAAATAATTCAAAAAATAAGTATAACACTGGAAAGCAACAGAAAAGGGGAATACAGAAGAGAGAAATAGAGGTAGAGAGACAAGGGGGTAAAAAGGGGAGAGAGAAGAAGAGAGGGAAGAAGGAAAGGAAAAGAAGTTACAAAGGACCGGAGCAAGATATAGAGAAACAGGACCTATTTAGAGATAAGGATGAAAATCTAACTGAAAAAGGGATTCTGTAAAGGTACATAAGATTGTATTATTATATTAGTAATAGAAATAACTTTAGAAAATTGGAAACAACATATGATTAAAATGAGGGATAAAATAGTGTAATTTAGTGAAATGTTTGTGAATAAAATAAGTGAAATAAAATAAATGAGAAAATTGAATTAGGAAGGAACGGGAACATTTTAATTAGTTAATGTTTTATAAAATATAAGTGAAGGGGGGGAATTAACTATGGAAAGCTTATAATTTTTATAAGCTTATAATTGTTCCCATAGAAGTATGATATTTAATTGAAAAGTAATGTTAAAGATGTTAAGACTTTAATATTAATATTAATTAATTAATTAATTGAATTGGAATGGAATGTTGTTTTAATTATATACATTTATAATTTTTTTTCTATTTTTTTTAAGAATACAGTGTGTATTTTAAGAATGTACCAAGCAGAATCCGAATGGAAGTTATTTATTATATTGAATGTTACAACTTTAGGGAAAAGATATAAAGGCGTCATACTCCAATCAGTAACTACAGGAGAAATTTTGTTTAATGAGAAAAGATAATAGATAATCGAAACAGGACAGACAAAAAATATAAATACAATGATTTGAATGTAATGTAAAATAGTAATAAGATATGGAATAGAATATAAAAATGAGCATGAACCTGAATTTGTGTCTGTACGAAGAAATGTAACCCGGGATTATGCTGCTTTCAAAAAAGATGTTTTATTTGTATTTTTTTTCTCTTTGTGAAAACTCAAATAAAATATACAAAAAAAAAAGAAGAAGAAGCTGTCTATAGAAAGGTGGCCATGAGAGGAGATCTCTCTTTACTTGTGTTCTATTTCCATTGTAGTTCTCTGTGCAGAGTAATGAAGACTGATTGCTTGCCTGGTGTGTGCCTAACATGTATATAAACACATTATATATAGCAGTCTTGTATATAAACCACTGTTAAAAGACAAAGCCTCTGTGCGTGCACTGTATTGTGCTCCTGGGTTGTCTCACAATAGTAGTCACGCTGCAAACACTTTGACAGGTTATAGGCCCAGTGCACAGAGAAGGCTAGAGTGACCGCAGAGACTAGGGAGAAGAAAAACCCAGTGAGTGCCTGCATCAGAGCCAGTCATGTTGTCACGTTTGAAAAACACTTTTTCTAGGTCTCTTTTTGGAATCAAGCCAAAGCATTATACAGCCTAAACACACTGTACTCCAAATCACATTTTCTAAAAATGTAGCAGCCCCAAATGTCTTTTCCTACCCTTAAACAATTTGCTGATCAATAGATCTGAAAACTATCAGCAAACTACTGTCTTTGCATAGCAATCAAAGCAATGCTGTCTTTGCATAGCAATCAAAGCAATGACCCACTATTGACAACATTTTATGTTGTGTCCAAGAATCAGCCTGGCTATTTTGAGGTTCTCACTATGGCCGAGCAGTTGGAGAAATAAAATTGGAACAAACTAATGGGAAACCACAGACAGAATTGCTCGACTTTTAGTTATTTACCTTTTTAAAAATTACAATCTTAAACTTTGGGTATTTAAATGTAAGATAATTGGTTTTGCTTTTAGTTTTTCCTGTAGGGGAAGAATTACAAAGCACAAGCAGAACACAAAATGATAGTGCACAAACTGTACATGTTTAAAAATAAAATACTATTTTGTTTATATCTATACAATGTTTACAATCAATATAATTTTACATGTAATAAAAATCTGAGAATTTTTTTTAAAAAATCAATGTTGCAGGTATTTACATACAAATGCATTCAACTTGTAAAAGATGTTAAAATAAAAAAAAAACCTCATTTACAATAATAAACGTTCCTTACAAGTTTATCTTCAAAATCTTGAAAATTTCTGGGGGACCTTAAGTAGTAGATAGAATATTACAGAATGTACAATAAACATACATTCTTAATTTGCTGAAAAGTGTAGCACAATCATCATACATTTCTTAATTTCAAAACAAGAGAAAGTTTAGACAAAAGTTTTATTTGTCTTCTATGTGCACAAGGAAACTGCCTTGAAGGAGAGCAGCAAAAGAAAGGTGTGACTGCAGGATGTAAACCTGTAGGCTACTGTGCTGTGTGACAGCAAGTTCTCTTTAACTGTTCCCATTAAAAGAACAAGGTGTGACTATCTATACCCAACAGAAACTCTAAGGTATTATAAACATACATCCCATGTGATCTATAGCTTCCATTTTTTCAACTGATTCATCCACTATTGCATCCTATAGCAACTTAGTAGTAAGTAAAGATCAATCAAGTAGTAAGTAAAGATCAATCAACGCATCCAAAAATTGACATCTTACGGATTTTATAAATCTCAGAAGTCCCCAATGCTTTATGAGCTTTTCTAGCATATGAGAAGCTTCAAATCAGATCAGTGTCAATAAGACAATGTGATAAGATCACAGAATTTATGAGATCATACAATGGGAGATTTGTATTAAAGTTAGAATCCTGAAATAATTTAAGATAAATTGACAGAATATTAATATTTTAATAATTTCAAAATGTTAAAAGCATTCTTTAAAGATTTCTTCATGCCATTTTTAACTGAAGGGCACTATTACCTGAAATAAGAAAAAAGGGATTTGCAGAGTACATGGAATCTCATTAGGGAGCTGGTGCTCTTTTGCTTATCACAATCCCTTTTAATAATCAAAACTAAATTTATCTGCAATAGCAGTTTTACCACTGCAGGCAATACCAAGAGCTATATTGAAAATATATTTCCGCATGAAAATGCACTTGCAAAATACTAGTAATAGTCTATACTGACATCTACCAAAAATTCTAACAAGAAATACTGATAAATGCTCAGAAAGTAACTATTGGTTTATATAAATACATATGAAAGTCTCAATACTTTTTTTAATCTACTGTCACAAAAATTGTTACACAAGCCAATATGCAGAATATCATATTCTTCAATCAAGGCTCCCTCTTTGCACAACAGCTGTCTCAATGAAAAGGGAATACAGGTTCTCCTATTAATTAAATACTCTGCCATTTACGTGCATTTTTTTTCATCTGTGCATCAGACGCTTCCAATAAATTTTCAGAAAAAAAAATAATTCTCAGAAATCATAAAAGCACACATTATTGCATAGAAAATTTCTTCAAGAAACTGATTTCCTCAGCTGGTCAATATATTTTTATCCAATTCACTTCCGACTGTTTCATTCGCACTACTTGTTATGCATTTATCTGGGTTTTTTTTTCATCCTTTTAATATGATTGCAGGAATTTGTTTTCTGTAAACAGTAGCATAGCCAACTCATAAGAGGGAAGAAAAAGAAAGTAAAACTATACACTATCTAGCCCTATTTGTATAAACTCTTTGATCTGTTAACATGTTCTGCAAAAATTCTAACCCAGTAAATCCTGGAAATACAGGAGAATACTTTTAAGAGCAAACATCTCTAGCCACTCATTGTAGGAAGACTTTCTTCATTCCTACTATCAAAAGTAAAGTCTCTGCCTCAAATTGGGCTTTGTAGAACCTTATAAAAGAAACAAAGAATTAGCAATTTATCAAAATACCTTAGAGAGTGATGTACTGATGCCATCATAACTTTGCCATCAGCTGTGTGCAGAGACAAATAGAAACAATAATAGTGTGTTTAAAAAATCAAAGTGGTGTACTAAAATTGTTTTGAGCCTGACAAAAATATTTCCTTGTTGCTTGACCCAGTGTTTTGGAATGCTAAATCAACTGGGTGCATGTGTACGTATGTACGTGTGCGTGTGTGTGTGAGACAGAGACACTTTCATTCTCATACTGTCAAGACCATCATTCCACTAAATACCATGTGATTCTTTCATCATAATTCCTTTGACTTGACAAAATTATGTTTATATATGTAATTAGTTTGCCTACAAACATCTATAACTTCCTGTTCATTTTGCAGCCTCATATATCAACATTTACTAGTTTCTTATTATTAGAGAAAATTTAAAATAATAAATGTAAAAAAAGGGGAGGGGAGGAAATCTCCTAAGAGGGTTTTAAACAACAAAAGACAAAACAACAACAACCCAATACCTGAGAAAGCACATGGTAATCAGTGGCAAAAAGAATGAATTCTATATTGATTGGGAGGAAATTACTACATTATTATTTCTATTCCTGTTAACTAGAAATCTTGAAAATGAAGCAATGATTTCCATACGGTTTCATAGAGGTTATCAGAAACTAAGCATGGCATTAAACTGAAACTGAATAATTTATAACAAAGAGATGCTTATATCAGTTTTTAAAATTGATCTAAATTTTCTCCATACATCGTGCAAAACATTATTTTCCAAGGATTATAAATACAATTCTTCAGTTTGTTTTCCTAGTCCCATTTTTCAAAGAGATGGTTACAATAGAAGGGTGAAGAGTGTCACATTATCATAGGCTGCTGAAACAGGTTAAATTTTTAACACCTAGTTTGCACTTAGAGATGCATAAGCAATCTGAGTGTTTATGTGTAAGCCCAAGAATAACCTGCAAATGAAAGGATTCCAGAGTGATTGTTATAAATCTTTACAAATGATTAATCCAAATCTATACAAGTATATATGCATTACACAGATAAAAATGGGCATCCAAAAAATTCACCCCTTCCCGTTCTTTTCACACAGCTGAACTGCAGTCATGACCGAGAATATGGCTTATATTATGGGCAGGCCGATTTGATGATTGTTTCAAAGAGTCAGAACCAGATGTATTTGCTATTGAGAGCAATGGTGAGATTGCTGATCCATCTGAAGGAAGAGCTGTAGCTATTTCTGGGAATAACGAAGTCAAATTAAAATTGGACAAGTGTGATGAATTAGCCACATGCATTGGAGGCATATCTGTCAAAAGAGGAAAGCTTGGCTGAGCAAAACCAACTGGTCGGGGAGGTGACAAAATAGAACCAAACCGATTGTTTAAACCTCCACCATTTGGCTTCTCTGTACTTGGATTAGAAAACATTTGGTTAGAAAAATAAGGAATTGAAATGTCATTAGACAGGGGGGGATGTGCAGGAGAATATGGTGGATAGAAAGATGGCAATGTATTTTGAGGATCAACTGGAATCAGAGCTGCTGTTCGGGTAGCATTGGGTTGAGTTACTGGTGGAATAAATGAAGTGTTAGCATTTACTGGGGGATTCATTCCACTTTCTGGAATAAAAGGGAATCCAAAATTTTGAGACAGAGTGTGCTGATCAACAGCTGTACTGTCATGAGAGACATGTGGCCCTTCAGGCATGAATCGTACAATGCTGCCCCTTTTTTCAAGGGTAGGCTGCTGTCGTCCAAGGATCATTCCTCCACCAGTGGATAAAGGGATTTGGGGAAGAGAAGGTTCAAACACATTCCCATGCCTCTGATTTGCAGAACGATTCCTTTCAGACTGGCGAATTTTAGAGCCACTGTTATCCTGTAAAGGATGTCTCGATCGATCAGTGGCTGAAGAATTGGTTTGACGAACAGATGGAGGAACCTGGTCAGCATTCCCACGAGAAACTGGTGCATAGTGAAGAAGACGCGTAGCTCCATGTACATTGCTAGAAGCTGAGGCATTTATGTGACCTTTTGTTCCATGGCTCTCTGTTATTCTCATGGAATTAGATTTCTGGATAGAAATATTGGGACTTGAGTTACGGCCCTGAATATCTCCAGAAGAACTTGAGAAGGGAATAGTTAAAGCATTGTTCCTACTATTAATAGTACCAAGAGACATGTCGCAACTTTCTCTGTTCTGATCATCACCTTCCCTCCGAATATGAATACTTTCTCTTGCTGGGGCACAATTATAATCAACATTTGAGGAACTGGCACACTGTGGATTTCTCTGATGCTCTGAAATTGGTCTTTGGCTTCCATTTGCTTGATCTCCAAGATGAGGAATAAGTAAACTCTGCATGAATCCTTGGTGGCATGTATTCTCATTGTCTCTTTGGGGAGGGAGAGGATTTCCTGCTGAAATGCTTTGAACTGGTTGATAAGACAACCTTTTTTGTCTGTCTATTGGTGGTCCAGCATTTTGGGCAAGTCGAAAACTCTGTGTCTGCATACCCCTGAGAGAGTTACTTATTTCATTACTTCTTGAAGATTGCACATCAAAATTACCTGTAGGCTGTTGGTTAATGGCATTCACCTTGAATGTCTGACACTCAGAGAGCCTTTGAATGTCTGATCCAAGTGGATGATCTACAGATACACGACTTTGTGTATTATGAATTACCAGTTCTTTATTCCTGGATATATCAGCATAGTTTCTCATTTCAAGATGATCTGACACTTTGAAGCTCTGCATGGATACTCCTAGCCTGTGTTCTGAATTAGATGAAGACTTTCCAATAAGTGCCTCTGCAGAGTAACTACTAACTCTATTTCTTTCTTGCCTATGAGGGAGACAGGGAACATCTGGTCTAGAGACAATACTAGGTTGAGACACTATCTGCTGCTCCAAAGCCCTAGAGTTCAACATTCTATGCATCTGACTATGTCCTGAGACATGTTCAGAAGGAACTCCAGAACCTGGCTGTCTGCTGCCCACATCTGATGACTGCTGATGCAGAATGTCCTGACTTGGATGGCTCCGTGGGTGGCTATGAGTTCTACTCAAAGCAGAATTCTCACAATTCTTCTCAGGCTGGGAAGAAGGATAATGCTGCTGCAATTGTTGAATCTGGGAGTGATGGGGATGTGGCTGGCTACTCTTTGACCGTGATTGGTCATTTCCATGATGCTTCTGCTGTAAAGTAAGTGCAGTGGGCTGAGTGGCTTGAATTAGACTTCTCTTTTTCTGCAGCTGTGCCTCTTGATGCAATAGTCTTTGCTGATGGGCAATATGGGTTTGAGAGTGTACAGAACTTTCTGCAGGAGAAATATAATGCTGAAGTTGATACAATTGATGCCTTTCTCTTAGCTGTCCAGCCTGCTGTTGCTGCGGTTTTATATATGGGTGATTAGCCTGAAGATGAGCCATACTCTGAGAGAGAGCATGTTGGATAGGCTGCAGATGTTGTCCTGCCTGATCAAGGATAGGTGGATGAGAATTACATTGAACTTCAGCTTGCCTCGAAGTAGGTGACACAAAATTGCTGGCTTGAAATAACCTGCTATGGCCATTGGTATGTCCTTGATTACTCACTGATACTGCAAGATTAGATGAGTTGGGGGCGATCGGATTCACACGGATTTGATTTTGACCCTCAATATCATCAGCTGTTTGATTCAACAGAGCCATGTCTTCAAGCTGTAGAGGAGCTGTCTGGCAATGTTTCTGCCTCTTTGATGTAGAAAGCATGTGATCATCTTGAACAGAACGCTTGGCTGATTCTTTGCGGCTTTGTCTTTGCTGCTTTAAATGGGGTTCACATATCTGTGGACCTTGCATCGTACTAGTCTGAAGAGCAGATAACTGTTCTGAAGGATACTCTGCCATCAACCTTGGAGAATGTCCTGGAGACTGAGTCATATATGAATTAGCAGGGACAGATGGAGTCCCAGATACAGAAACAGTTGTTCGATCTGAAGATGATGGTACACCTGAGCAGCTTACTGGAGGATGTATGATGCACGTTGGATGGATGAGATTATTCACATTCAAGCTTGAGGTGTTTGAGGGTTGTGGAGTTGGAATCTGCAAAGCTGTATCAGCCATTTCCAGTCTAACAGAACAACTTTTCTCTGCAGACAACTCAATGTTTATTTGCATTGAATTCTGGGTACTGAAATTGTTTGGCCCCGTTTCCATTTGATTAGTGTTTTTCACTGGGTGAGCTTTGAATGGTTGGTCTCTTCCTAGAGGTGTTACTTTACTACCCTTGGAAATAGAGGTTCCTGACACTGTTCCTGTATTTTTTGCAAGAGTCTCTTGGTCAAAAATTGCTCTTGCAGCCAGTGCTACAATATCTGTTTGCTCTGAAAATGAACAAGTGCTATGTGTGTTCACCAAAGTGCTGTTGGAAACATTTTCTCTACATGTATCTGGCAACATGGATGCAACAGAAAACCCACAACTGCTACCTGAACTAGTTGACATGGGGGAATCTACTTGCCTATTTGCAGTGATAGCTTCCTGGTCGGAGGTGCAAGAATTAGAGCGTGTGAGGTTTTCTTCTTCAGCATTTATCAGCAAGAGTTCTTGTTTCCTTCCCAAATTATCATCTGAGCTGATATTTGATTTTGTGCTTTGGGTACAAAAACTGGGGTGCTCTACTGAAAAGGATTTTTGTACATCTCCTACTTTATTAAACTCTGAAAACATTTTGGTTAGGCCCTGTTCTTCCAATAAATCTGAGGCCTGCATTACAATGGAACAATTTTGTTCCATCCTGCAGATCTCTGAGACTTCTGTTCTGGGAACATTCTCTGTATTTGTTTCTCTATTTGAAACTGACGTCTCAGAAATTTGAGAAATTGTCACTGGAGAATCTGAAGAAGAGGGTAGTAAAGGACTGGTGGATATACATTTGGATAGTTCTGATAACTTAGAATTTGCTGTTGAGTTGGTTTGAGATTTACATATTTGAAGAGGTGGAGAAGCACGGTCTGTGGAAATTGCAGGAACTACCTCAAATTGACCCAACAAGGATGATTCAAGAGACAATGACCTAGGCACTCCAGCTGCATTCAGATCAGGTGTCAGAGTAGATTCCATGTTCTGTTCAGCTCTCAGTCTATCTTTGGTGTGAGGATCAGAAGCATGTATATCATTTTGTGATATTCTACAGTTTGCCTGTGGTACAGCTAAGCACTGCAAAACAGGCATATTTTCAAGCAATATGTCACTTCCTGAATGTTCAGATGCAGTTGTCATATTTCTATCAATTTTTTTGCATTCTTTCTCAGGATCTACTTGACATGCAAGGCTGTTGCTGGCTACTGAGGTTTTCTTAGTACCTGCATTTTTATTAGACCATTTTGAACCCGAACTAGCAGCTTTGGGGGGAGAAATGTCTAGTGAAGTTGAAGTACAGGTTAATCGAGAACTCTCAGCAGCTGAAGAGGAAGGTACTGTCACTGTTAGCAAAGCAGGAGATATTGGTGTGGTTTGGCTACTAACAGTTTTGGGGTTGGTAGATGGATTGCCAGACACTTGTTGACAGCTTTGGCCAGCCATCTGTGATATGCTTTGATTGAGGTTAGCTAAAGCACCAAATGCATTGAGGGCAATGTTGGTATTTGGATCTTCACTGGTGGTAGGCTGAATAATTTGCATAGGGGTTTGATCTGAATCTCCAGAACAGGATTTCATAGGCTTTAATGCAAACAACTGTCCATTTAAAGAAATGGTTTGTGGAAGCTTTTGGTTAGACATTGAAACAGAAAATGTTTGTGTCAGGCAAGAAGATGTTGAAGAGGAGGGTCTTGGTAAAATATGAACAAGATGTTTCCCACCAAACATATGAGGGCCAGAGGCACTTTGTATAAGATTGCCAGAATTTGTTCCATTCACAGGCATTTTAACAACTGGTGGTGTTGAGAAAAAAGAGAGAGGATTTGGATTAGCAGTTTGTATTATTACAATCTGTTGGCTAACAGTCTGATTTGGGAGTTCAGCTCTCAGCACTGGAGGACAGGAATTAGCATTAGGAGGCTGGAGAATTACAATGTTCTGATTAATAGGTGATGTATTGATAGGGGAGGTTATTGGCTGAGACACCTGAATCACTTGCATGGCTGGATTCACGGGAAGGAGGCTGCTTGCTATTTGTGCTCTAGGTTGTGTCTTACTAATTAGTGGCTGAATAGGTAAAGATGGATAGGAAGGCAAGCCAACAACCAATTGGTCAACTGGGTGTTCATCTGGAATTAGGGGGTTATTTAAACCAGCGGCATTGGCCAGAATCTTGTTTGGAGTGGAAGCTATAATACTAGCACCATTAATTGGCTCATTTAAAAGGGCTGTCATTATGTTGGATGGAGTATGATTTAGAGGCTGAACAGTGCTTCCAGCTAGCTGCAGTGTAGTCCAGGTGGTCTGGGTATTTCCAGCTGAAGTGATTCTCATAAGATTACCAATGCTTTTTGATTCTGGAATGCCAACACCTGAAGAACTGGGAAAAGACCATTTCTCTACAGTAGTAGCAGGCGCTATATTCAATTCTGTTACAGCCTTTGGGGTTTCTTCTGGAGCTCTATCATCTAGGCTTTTGAAGACCTTTCCTGTGGATGCCTTTCCAATAGATGCAGCACAGGCTGGGTCAGCGGCAGAAATTACACAGCTTCCTAGAGACCCACTTCTTGAACCCACTTCTGTTGGTATATTTTCTTGTTGACAATGAAGCACATCTATACTAACACTGGAAGAAAGGCTGGGGCTTGGTACACTTGTTTCCTCAATCAGCTTCAAACTCCCTTGTTTATTTTTAGATTTGGAGATGTCATTCTCATCTTGTGATGAAATTTGTTTTCCACTCTGCAGTCTTACTAGCTGCGAGGTATTCACAGAACTGGCAGCACTTGTACAGGTAGATGTGCCTTGCTTGTCCTCAGAGGTAGATTGCTCAAGAGTTTTTTTGTCTGTATTTGGTAGGCCTGATACTAATGATGAAACTGAAGTTTGAATACCTGATTTGATTGCTGTTGAATAAATACTAGAAATGGTTGCAGGAGTGTTGCAAGTCCTCTGGACAGGAACAACGTTAGCTGTCTGTTTCTGTAAATTATGTCCTATATTAAAAGTTATTCCTTGGACTGATGGCCCCTGGTTACTTCCACCAAACTGGCTGCCATTGGAATATACAATGATATTCTTTTGCAGTTGATCATTGGGGATAACAACAGAAATATTTGTATTCTTCAGATTTTCTTTCTTCTTGTGTGTCTGATCATTCGGAATTACAATAGAAACGTTTGAATTTTTAAGATTCCCTTTCCAATGGATGGTAGGGTCATCATAAAGGCAAATGTCATTAGCTTTCAACAATGCTATGTAGCGCCCATTTTCTTTCTGGAGTTCATCCAATTGCTTCCGGAGTTTTTTTATTTCTTCAGCTGCAGAGAGAATTGTAAGAAGTTAAATGCTAATTAGGAAAAAGCGGAGAAAAATCTAGTCGATTAAATGGTTGATGGCACTTGGCTGAGCCTGTCCCTGCTATTATCCAAATTGCTATGTGAAGTTGGGGTTGTATTCATTCTCCTGTTTAATCCAGTGCCTCATTCCTGATTAATGTGTGAAAAAGTGCAGGTGTAGAGGCCCTCTTAAAAAGGAACTATTTCTGTTGTTTTTATTATTACTATTCAAATTCATATTGGACTTTCCTATTGAAGAAAATGGTTATTTAAATGTTACAGGATAATCAATGACAATATGCAGTAAAATCTAATAAATCCTAAAGATTCTAATATAAAGAAATTAGTGATCCTATTCTTGGCATATAATTTGGGTGAAAATATAGATCTAATACAATGGGATAAAATTTAAAAATAATTAAATTGCTGTTAATCTCAGTTATTAATTACACATTAGACTTAGATCTGCTTTCCTATTTTTAACTACAGGTAGTCTTCAACTTACAACCACAATTGAGCCTACAATTTCTGTTACTCAGTGAGAAATTTATTAAGTGAGGTGAGCCTCTTTTTACGACTTTTCTCGCCACATTTTTTTAAATGAATCATTACAGTTTTTAAATTAGCAACACAGTTGTTAAGTGAATCTTTTCCTCCCATTGACTTTGCTTTTCAGAGGATAGCAAAGGGGGATAAAATCACTCCGGGACACTTCAACTGTCATAAATGTGAATCAGTTGTCAGCATGCAAATGTTAATCACATGACCATGGAGATGCTGCAATGGTCATAAGTGTACAAAATGGTCATAAATCACCTTGTAACTTTGAATGGTCATTAAATGAACTGTTGTAAGTCGAGGATTACCTGTATGATTTTTTTCACATAAAAACTCTTTCCAAGAAAGCAACAATCCTAGCTCATACCAAGGCAGATGTAGTAAGAAGTAAAATGAGCCAATATTTTAATTAAAATATTAGTAGTAACTTTATTTCTATTAGATTATTAGATCAAAGAAAATAATAATTTGAACCATAAAGATTTGGAAAAACAGTGCTGAATTTGCTGGAAAGTTTTAATAGTTACAAACCAAAGGAGGAGCAGCGCAAACCTTTATTTTAAAACCTGTATGCAATAAAAACAAGTGTGCCAATTTTATATAATGTTGAGAATAGTAAAAGCTTCATTTGCTAATTACTTTTATTAAATATTAACACAGATATACAGTAACAGTGGAATATTTTAGAATATTTATCAATGCTATAAACTGAAAGCTTACCACCTTGTAGCAACAGAGCCTCCTTCTTCCTAAAGTGGAAATAGTTTGAAATAATTCAGTCACAGAAGGAAGACAGTGTGGTACTTCATTTTGTTTGGTGATGGTCCATAAGGCTTTCTGCAGCAGCCCCAGATAAATAAGGAAAGGCTATAAAACGTTACATTCATAGAATAATCTATTCACCTTGTTCATTGTTTCCTCCATTCAACAGGAGTTCATCATTTTGCTTTTTCATTTCTGTTATGTATTTGTATGCTTGATCCAGAATCATGTTCTTACTCTGTAAAGGAGAGATTTTGAATTGATTTATAATGTCCAAAGGAAAAAGTAACAAAACATTAAATCTAATAAAGCTAACACTACCACCGATCCATGCTAATATAATGTATTACATAATGAAAACTTTCACAAAACAAAAATCTTTCCAGAAAATTTTTCATAGCTTTTTTGCTTAGAAGTTTTTTATATATCTCCTATTGCAACTGATTTAGACAATTTCAAAATTATAATCAATTTCATCCAACTTCCACATAATCTTTTTTGTTAATATATATTTTTAAAAGATTGATAGCCACTTCACTTAATGACAGAACTGCCAGTCACAATGGTAGTCACTAAACAAGCTAACTGTAATAAGACACTATATTTAATTGTATTTCACAATTAAAACTTGACTATATTTTCAATTTATTAATCCCAAGTCTTGATTGTTTGAATAGGGACATTAGAAGAATCAACTCTAAAGCTGGTAATACAGCTGGTATTAATATAAGTTCCTACTTGCCTGTTTCAGTGCAGGAGAACATGGAATTAGCTCACCAATTCTGTTTATACCAGCATTGATTTTCTTTTTTCGATGCCGCTCCACTATAAAAAACAGAACCCATTGTAGGTATATTTATAATTACAGTTTGCTTGGAAATAATAACTCTTTTCTGTTTTGATAGTCTTTGGTTTTGCATACTTAAAAGAATCATCTGGATTCCACCAATATTAAAGTTCCTTCCAAATGAGAAACATGGTCAGCTGAAGATGAGTTCATGATTGTGGAGTTGATGCAGTGGAAAAAGGAGCTAGAGAATGAATCAATTCCCTGAATTCCTCTTCAGAATAAGGAGAGGCTCTGGGATCTACCATAATTCTTCATACAGATGCTCCCTGCAATGAGACTATACATCAGGTGTCTCTGATGGGTTTTAGAGCTCTGGATGCTGGAAGATTCATTTTGTCCAAACTGCGGTTCAGAGCCTTCAAAGAGATATTGGGTTTGCCTACTTCTGTACTTAATCACTTCCCCTGGAAGTGACTTGTAAACTGCTTTTTGAATATTAAGAAATTTCAGAAGGACAACTTTTATTATGCTGGGTGATTTTCCTAGGTAAAAAAAATTTCATGTAAGTCTAAGAGCTTAAAGAATAAAATCAGAAATAAGCAGCAAAGGGGTTATTAGAAAGTTGATTTTAAAGAGTTTTTAAATGGGCTAAGAGGTCAGATTGACCATAAAAAATTAAGAAATAATTACAAGAATATTTCTTATGGTATGTTTAAAATCTTATAAAAATATATGAAGATTTTGAATTTAAGTGTAAGAAATTTTTCCCTTAGAAAATGAGGATTAGAGAAGAACATTTAAGACCTGGTTACTAGAGGTAATCAGAAAGAACTAAAAATTATAACTAAGATGCAGACACATTAATATACAATGGCAGAAAGTATTTTAACTCTGGAAGAACTCAAGGATAATTGGCGAAAGTGTACTCAGAATTTTCTTTTAAGATTGCTTGTGAATATATAAACAGGTTCAAAAGAAGAGATAGAAAAGGATAGAACTGAGAATGAGGCTGTTTTGAACACAGATTTAAAACTGATAGGATTCGTTAATGATGTTACACAAGATTCACAATGAAACTCATTGATGTTTCAATAGCTAAAAGAGACACATAAATAATAATTCAGAAAAATGATATATATGCGTGGATTTCAACTCAGAAGAGTAAGGAAGTCTCACATACCCACACATATTTTGGTCTTTTTGCATTTTTCTTAGTTTGTATTAGTTTGTCTTTGTATTTTTAAAGTTCAATAAAAATTATTACTAAATTCTTACCTGCATTGTGAGTCTCACGGTTTTTCTTCCTGTTTAAAAAAATATGAACTATTTATTGCTATTTAAAGTATTAAATCCATAACCATTTGTAAAACAATATTCTTCTATTCTGACAACCATCTATACACAGTGAATATTGTAGCATATAACTAATTAGCCTGTTTATTTTTAACACAAGAAAATATATATTCCCTAAAACATACACGCACAAAATATGCACAAAATTGCATACATAAAACAGGCACAAAATGAGGCTTTAAAATTGATTCTCTTGTGGAACTTCAAGCTATGAACAAAAGCTACAATAAGGATCACTATTATGTCACCAGTAGTGTTAACAAATATTAACCAGTAGTGTTAGCAAATATTATAGACATAAGGAACAGGGGAAACATTATAAATGCATATGTAATCGATAGATTTTTTTGTGTACCAGAGTAGGGGATTATGTTACATAAATTTAAAATATAATTTTATACCTATAAATTTCTTACATAAAAACAAGTTTACAGAACATTTTTCCTGCCAATGTTCCATATATCCCTACTTCAATGACATTTATTCTTAAATCTGAATAGAATAGAAATCATGTATTGGACCTTAGAAAAGCTTGGCCCTGTCATGGCAGGAATGCAGAAATGTACTGGTAACTGGCAACCTTGTGAGATTTGGCATTTCATTACTGCATTTCCTTTTTTTCTTAAAGAAGGGTGTCATGTGAAAAACACTCTATTATCCTGATAGATGCTACACCAAATAATTTATTTTTCAATTACTGTCCCTGCAAATCTATTAAAACGACTGTGTGTATGTATATGTACATGTACACAAATACCACATGATTGATTAACTGATCTAGGTTTATCTCCTCCAATCCCAAAGGACTCTGGGTTGCTTACATTTAGAAAGTACAAAACAATTTATAGCTACATCTGCAATTACAAAAACATCTGCATTTGAAGAACAAGCAAGCAGCAAAGAACAACTCTGGGTGGAGGCTCGCTACTAGCAGTTCCATGTCTATTTTTTAAAAATGCAATTGCTTTTCTAAAATGTAGCAAAATGGACACTAATCTGATTTTAGGGTTGTTTCAAAGGAGATGCTTTTGTATTCAGTTTTCTAAGAAATCCAAGAAACTTCATATAAAAAAAAATGCAATAACTGTTTATATCACAAAGGCATATTTCTCACACTGGCATGGAATGGATGGAGAGCTATATGCAGTATATTTTTGCACACACACCTCCCACCTCCCCCATATTTTGCAGTAAATTCCTGCTGAACCATTTAACTAATAAATGGATTTGTTTGCTAGATTAAATTCTAGTATTACTGATATGTATGCATGCTACATTAAACCAGGTCAGACAGTACTGCTACTTAACAGCTACTACTGTTAAGCCACTTCCAGATAAATAACAGCTCAGATAATATAACAAAGCATAGTCTGTTATAGTTCACCACTATTCATCATGTTGACTGATAGCTCCTCTACTTTTGTAGTATCTGGCCACCTCAGTATTTTTTCATTTTTGTTAAAAATAATAGAATATGATAGTTTAATTAAAATTGGAGCCCTCCTCAGCCCTACTTCTTTCATGCCTATTTTATCCTTTTCAAATGTACAGGCTGTTTTAAAAAAATGGGGTGAGCAGAAACCTGCAGTCAGAACACCCTCCTTTCTGTGGTTATTCTAGTCTTCAATCTCTTCCTCCAGAGGCTGGAACGGAGAATTAATCAAAGCACAGGGTCAATGCAATCTCACTCAAATCAGTATCATTTATTCCTCTGAAGCAAGGATAGGATTGTACCATATACTTATTTGCAACTTGAAAACATACCGGTGCTGCTTCTTAAGAGGAGCTTTCTCTGTCATCTCTGTCATAGTTTGAGGCAAAAGAATCTAGGAAAACATAAAAACTCATCACCATCTTTGAAGCTACTATATCAATTCTCATTACAGTTGAAAATGCATGGTTTTTCAGCAAGCTTTTATATCTGTGTTTCTAGCAATCTTTCACTACAATTTTGAAATAATTTTACATTAGCACAATCAACTTATTAATGAAACTGTCAAAGGTGTTAATATACCTATTCACTGAACACTGAAGCAGAAGCAACAATGTAAAGTATCTCTATTTAACTACCCATATATTATTTGTACCTACCACCAAACCATTTGGCTTACTAGTGCGTGTCTGAAATACCAAAGCCTTGTTTATATTTTATTTTAATATTTTCATAAATGATCTAGGGGGGGGGGAACTCATCAAATTTGCAGATGACATAAAGCTGGGGGGAACTGCTAACACTTCAGAAGATATCCTCAGAAGGATCTTGACAGACTTACACACTGGATCCTATCCAACAAGATGCAGTTCAGTGGGGGGGAAAAGGTGTTTCCTGCACTTTGGCAAGAAAAAAAATGCAAAGGTATATATACGCAGCATCTGACTCAACAGTAGTGCCTATGAGAGGGATCTAGGTGTCCTAGTAGAACTACCACTTCAGAAATATGAACCAGCATTGTGCTGCAACCGTCAAAAAGGCCAACACAGACCTGGGCTACATCAATAGAGGGATTATATTAAGTGATAGTACACATTGGTGAGCCCACGCTTGGGATACTGCATCCAGTGGTCACAACAAAGGCATGAGAAGGCTGACTAAAAAGCCCTATTTCTGAGTCATGAATGTTTAAAGTAATAGCAACATTCAATTTTATATTTAGTGTAAAATGTGTGCAGGAACTTTAGTGAGTCTAATTTTTATTAGTTAATAAAACCTGTATCACCCAATATTAATCTACATAAGAATGGCATATTGGTTGGCACTCATGTCACTGATTCTTGTTAACATTTTCTCAAATACACTATTTTGAATACACACACACACACATATATATATATATAATCAAAAAATATATATCTGAAATGCTTGATAACAATACAGATATGCAAATATTAATCAGGAAAAAAAAATAAAAAGGAAAAACTTGCCTGAAAACATAAAAACAAATCAAACAATTCAGGGAGTTCTAATATATTACTAGATAAACTTATATGCTTCTCTATGCTTCTCTATCTAAAAAGAAATCAGTTCAAATATTATTACTGCATGCATATCAAGAATCTACTACCATAAATAATGCTAGATCAAAAACTCCATAAACCATAATAGAACATAGATATATGTACTTAACAAACAATAACATGATATTGAAATTCATATGCACTTTCATGCTAAATATACCAACAGAAGTCAAGCCAAAACTATACATAACTGAACAAAGGACAAATTTCAGTTAGAAAATAATTTGAAAATAAATGGGAAATCCCTATTAAAAGTTCCTTTTAAGTGTTTTGTATTTAGCTTAACTGTTAGCCAATAAAAGAAACATGCAGAAATGAATCTTTATACAGGTGATGGGTACATAAGGAACAGAAGGAAAAATTATTATTTTTTCCCTGCCTAAAAGAAATGGAACATACATAAAGCATTTATAAAATGAAAATCTATAGAGAAGCACAGGAAAAAAAAATAAGGAGAATGGAATAAACAAGTGGCCACTCTTCAGCTCACAACAGTGGACAAGGGTTTTTGGAATTGAATACAAGAGCAATAGTAAATTATTCAAGAAAGTAACTTTCCTTAAAGAGAACTATCACATGGAGGAACACGCTCAGTGGAAGATATTCTTTACCATGCAATTAATAAATCACTTTTAGGCTACTGTAGGAAAACAAGACAATGGGTATAAAGCAGCAAGAATACAGAGCTGGAAGAGGAGAGCATTACTACTTTCTGAAAGAAGACAAAGGACAGAATTATGGTCCGTGTGATAAATGTAAATATAAGCATAGCAGATACAAGTACTTTCCAAGTTTCATGAAGTTCACCAAGAGTTATTTTTCCCAGTTATCCATATAGAGAAGAATACAATACTATCAACAGCAATTATCATTCTATTTATCTTGGGCTCTTTGGAGCTCTAAGAAAAAAAATCAATCTCTTAATCTTTTATCAGAAACAATCAAATCAATCACATGTTCAGATTTTTTTAATTTGCTACATGTACATGTACACAGTTTAAAGCATGTGTGTGTGCGCGCGCGCGCAGAATTGCATTTCATTACCACCATTCATTGGAGCTTAGCATTCAACAACTATTACCATCCTATACATTCCTACTTTCATATATATTTAAAATAATGTAGCTGAAATAATTCCTGTTTTAGGACATATATTTCAGCCCATTCATGCATAAGTAAGTCATACCTTTATTTTTATGCATACATTCATCAAATAGCTGCCATGCTGGTTCTGCCTTGACCTTTTCTGGGATCTTTCAGGGTGCTTTTTTCATCTTTGATTTTTTTCCCAGAGCCATACAAGAGGGACTGAGGAACAGAAACAATCCCTTGTGAAATTATTTTGAGAGAGAAGCAAGAAGGAAAAGAATATATAGTAGTGCCAGTAGTGCACAAGAAAACAACAAAAGGAGGACCAAATGAAAGGAAAAAGAGAAAAATAATAATAAGGGGGTGAGGGGAGAGAAACTCAGTCCTGAAAACAAGAGTGACAGTTAAACGGAATCCAAGACAGAGCCAAGAACATTTTTTAAAGAGAGAACTGCAGTTATTATTTCACCATCTCTTGAAAATCAAAATGGCTTCTTTTTTAAGATGATATTTTAGTTAGCTATTAGGTTATTAATCTGTGGCTAGTTGTAGTATGTTACTCCAGGCTTGCAGTTTGTAAAAGAGGAATTTTTCATTAGAGGACAAAAGAGTGCTGCTTCTGCTATCACCGAGGGAAGAATACTGGCAGAAAATTGGCATTGTGGTGAAGGTGAGGCTTGACTGCAGTTAAGGTTCAGGGTGACATGCTGAAGAAACAGGGCTACCAGACTGATCAATAACTTTTGAAGTATGTTCACTGAGTGACAGCTGGGGAGGGAGCCTCTTACTGAACTCACTGCTCTTTTAGTGGACTTGGGAGGCTCCCAAGGAGATTTTTATTGGGTAGTGTGTATTCTTCTCTGTCCTGATTACATCCCAAGATATTTATATGTCCACCCTGCTCAAAGATGGGATAAGGTATCTGCAGGCTCTCTGTATAATTTTGCAGGTTTCTTGATGGAGAAAGTCCTAGAGCTAAATGTCAATTAGACATGGTCTTGTGCATGTCTTGTGAATCAAGGATACTTTTGAGCTCATTAAGCTCAAGGAAGTGGATAGGATTCTGTCTATGAGACGAGTTTGCCAAATGCAACTTGATTCATGCTTTTCCTAGTTCCCCCAGGCAGGAAGGAATTGGCTGGATTAGGGGAATTGACAATGCTTGCTTGTAATGCCACTTGTTTTAAGAGGCATTTATGTGATATCTCTTGAAAAAGCTCTCCTTGAATACAGCCAAACTTCCTTTTAATCACCAACTTGCTGAAGGGAGGGGAGTAACTCAAGCTTCAAAAAGTGATAATGATATTGGTAGAAGATATGGATTATCTAGATTCCATGAGATGGAAATAATATTAATATTATTACATTGGTTGATGACCATCTAACCCTTGATGGGGAAAACTGTATCCTTCCTAGTCCTTTTAAAATTCTTAGTTGCTTTTGATACTCTGTCTTGATCATAGCATCATTAGTCAGCAAGAATTAGGGGTTGTTCTACAGTGGCTTTTTTCTTGAGTGGACAGTTCTAATCTATAATCAAGGTGGAACAGTGTTTAAGGGTGTAATTTCATCGATGTGGAATAACACAGGGCATAGTGCTCTCCTATTACTTTTTAATTGTATTTTTCATTTTTAATACTCTGTAAAGAATATAATAGAATAGCCCAGAATAGTACAGTCAATGTTCAATCACAAGTTACACATAACACTCAATTTATCAATAGAACAGTTATTATTAGCATTTGTATAATCTTTCCAGAGCTGATAAAATATGACTTGTTCCTCTAAAAAATCAGTTTTAAATTTTATCAGTCACTTTTTTCATAAGAGAAAAAAAATAATTGCAGATCAATTATTTAATGGTAGGCTGTCTAGAAATTTCCAGTTTAGAGCAATTCTTTCTGCTCCATCTGATGATTGTGATTGATCCCATTAGGTTGTAACCATACAGACATATTTTCTCCATTACAAACTGTTCCTAATCTTTCAGCTCTTCCAACAGTCTCCATTATATACTAAACAAATTGTTTCTTAATCTTTCCGCCTTCTCAGGACCAGATAATCTTTTCCCAAAATGCTAACTGATCTCCCTTATAGAACATGAGAAAGGCATCTACAAGGCCTATTTTTACTATTTACTTTATTTACAGCTTAGTCAGACATTTAACAGCAATAGAAAAAGTAAACACTTAAACACTGTAAAATACTGAAAAAAGTATTTTATATACTGAATATTACCTTGACAGAGATATATAGCCCTTAAACCAAAGGGGCTAAAGCATTTTTAAAGTCTAGGATGTCCAAATAACATTTGGAAATAGGTCAGACAGATGCTTCCCTAAGTCACTAAACTATAAAAAGGAGAAGAAACAACACAGACTTTCAAGCTTCTATTTTATACCAAATCTCAATAAAAGTAGTTTTAGCTATCCTGTCAAGTTCATTCTTAGCCTGATTTATCTAGTGGGGCCAACAGATATATCTCAAGTCCTCTCTGAAACAGTAATCAAAAAACAAAATGATTAGACATTGTTATGGAAAATAATTTTTCAGTACATTACAGTACTGAATTTGTGTGTTTTCCAAAGATCTCATGCAATAGGCATTCCATCTTTTTTGCTTAAAGCATTTGTGGGAGAACAATTTTAGTGCTTGGTGCCAGCAATTGTTCTCCTTTTGTAGGACAAAAAGATCATGATAGTCCAAATTGTTTTAATTGGTA